TACCAAGTTCCTTGAATAAACTCACCTCACTGCACCTCTGAGGTCCCAATGTCTTGTTTTTTTTTGCAGGTCCACTTATTTATGTAATGAAGAACCAATTAAAACAACTCATTGGCTCTGGAATGTATTCAATTAGTAGAGACCTTACAGGATGGTATGGACCACTAGCCTGAGCATGATATTGCTGGTGTATAGTGGAATAAAAGTCCTTCTTTACTTGATTTAATTCAGCATGTGGAAGCATCACAATCCACAGACTGATTTTGATGTGCGCTGGAGACAGAACCGTAGGAGCTAGTCATCCATTCTTCATTGTGAGCATAAGTGTTCTTGCATAAAATAGGTTTTGTGTCATAAGGAGTTCAAAATATTTCAGGAAATGAGGATAAGTAACCTTAGGATATAATTTTATTCACTGGAGAGTTTAGGTGCAGAAAGGTCTTGTCACTACTCCAGGACTTCAAAAGTTTATTCATTTAAGACATTTTGCCAGGAAGCTAAAAGAGCAAATGGTGCATTATTTGGCATTTGAAGTTTGCAGAACGATTGCATGGTCTTACGATTTTACTTTTTTGTTTATTTCTAACATGCCTAGTTTTAATTTGTGATAGAATTCTGTTAGTGTATGCTTTCAGCAAGAACTGTCCATTCTGAGCTACAGACAGAATAAGTGCCAGTTTGAAGTGTACATTCTAGGCTGCGCAACTTGAATAAACCTGTCTGTTTGTTCTGGTACATATGAAAAAATATGTAAAATACTTATGGCACTGATTAATAATAATGTATCAGCCAATATGAGCATTGCAATGTCACCGTGAAGTGAATGATCAATTTTATCCAGATGATTATTGGCCAAGACACTGGGAGAAACTCCTTTCTGTCTTCAAATAGTGCCAAGGGATATTTAACATCTACGTGAACAGGCAGAAGGGAAATCAGTTTAAAATCTCATCTGATTGACAGCACCTCAGATTGAGTTTTCCCTTTCAGCATTGGATTGGAGTGTCAGCCTAGCCAGGGAGGGGGGCTTGAAGCCACAACCTTCTGCCTCCGAGACGAGAGTGGTACCAACTTGAGTCAGGCTGACACCTGTATTAATTTGAAACTATAACAATTACAGTGTGCCATGATGTACTCTTTCATGTGTACTCCAATGGAACTTACCATCAGAGAACCAAAATGGCACCTGGTCTTAGCCTGAGAGTCCATTTTGTTTTTTAAAATATGATGATAGGGCAAAATTGTGGAAAATTCTTAAATCTGGTCTTAATTTGGATGTGCTTTATTTTCAAAAACTGCTGAAATTGGTTTCCAGATTAAGACTGAATTTTCCACAATTCTGTACGATCTTTAATTTTAAGACAAAATGGTCTTGCAACCTTAGACTGGTAGAATTCTAGGCCTTATCATAGGCAGATCACAAAGACAACATTGAACTCAGGCCGCAAGATCAGTTTGGATCAAGGTTTTTTGTCCCATTTGATCTCATCTTTGCAAAACTCCCAATTTTTCTGCTTCCTATTATCAAGCTATTCCTGGTATCAAGATTAAATTTTTTAAATAAATCAACAATCTGAACGTAATCTCCCTTCCTGGAATCCTGTTCCAACTACTAATTAGCTCTGTGCAAAGAAACGTTTTGCTGTCTGTTATAAATTGCCTTTAAACCTGAGCCCAGTATACCCGAAATATTAATAATAATAACAATATGTCGTTGTGATGTCTCAAAGTGCTTCACAGAATATATTGTAAAGTGGATTGAATGTGCATTTTGTAGGCAAACACGTGGCACCAATTGCGCACAGCAGTGTCCCACAAACGGTCGTGGATTGAGTGACTAAATTTGTTTGGGGAAGGAATTATTACCCCTTTATATTATTATATAATAATTATATTACTATTATGTTATAATACTTATGCTGTTATATTATAATAATTGTAGTATTATTATTATATTATAATAATTGTATTGCTTTGTGTTTACTTTCTCAATCCCACATAGCATCTTATATACTTCTACAAGACCTCCTCTGGGGTGTCTCTTTCTGAGTTTATCCAGTTATTCCTTGCAGCCCATCCCTCCAACAACGGAAATCATACGTGTTGCTCAATTGTACACATTTGCTTGGGAAGTTGGTAAATTCCCTGTGGGAGGGATAAAGACTACCTCAGCTAGCATCAGAATCGGATGAAAATACTACAAATTACAAGTAGATCATACTTCGTAACCACATTATTAATAAAAAGCAGTTTTTGTATCACATATTTTTACTGGACAGTATGTTCTATAAGGAGATGGACTCTTTGAGAAGACTGTTTAAGAAATGTGGGCTCCCACACACGTTTCGATATTCCTTTGACTGCAGTTTAATGCAGTCTTCTTCTTTGTGTTTGCTCATGTCACTGAACTTTTTTTTTGACTTTGTGCCAGTTTATTTTATTCTTGGAGATTATGTTTAACCGCCAAGAAATCTCCTGCCAGACCAGTATCATGGTATGTGGATTTGGGGGATTAATGCCAGTTCTAAATATTGCCGGTGTTTTGGCTGCATCTTGGATGCAATACAACCAAGTTTTGCTCTTGCTATGAGAATCTGATCTTCCTGTGGTTGTGAGGCAAGAGTTCCTTTTATTTATCAGCTTCACAGGTTTTATTATTACCTGGTAAATTCTAAGGAGTAAGTACGCACATTTCCACTGATCCGTATAATTGCTGACCAAGGCTGATGATATTCACTCGTAAAGGGAGGTTGTGAGCTTTGACCCCACAACCATCTGACCCAAAGGCAAGAGAACTGGAGCCAAGACAACAACAACAAAATTACATTTGTATAGCGCCTTTCACGTCGGGAGGATGCCCCAAGGCGCTGAAAAAAGACGACACACATATAAGTGAAAATTGTTATTGTTGCGAGCTTGTTGGGTCATCCGTTAAGAAGTTGTCTACTGAGAGGTGATCAGATCTTGTGATATCTGTCATCAAACACTTTTTCTCCCATCAGAGAAACAGGAGCAGCATCTGTTACTGAGAACCTTAGTGTGGGATGGAGCAGATAGTGGCCAGACAGTGGAGGCAGCACAAGAGAGTGTTGCAGGTGCAGGAACTATCTGAGATATTGCATTTATAGAACAACAATGACCCACCCGATTGTAACTGAACAGAAAGCTGTGCCTCCCCGGGAACAATGAACAAAAACTGTGTCAGTTCACACAAGCAGACCTGCTGATGAGATCTGGAGATGTGACATATTTTCCACTACCTGTGAAAGCTACCACATACCTCAGCTTCTATCTATCTGGCTCATTCCAGGCAATGACAGGGAGCACTTATACAATGAGCCGATATGCTATGTGCCTCAGCATCAGGAAGCTTGTTGATGCACTATGCATGCCATTTAGGTAGAGTCAGCAGGTACGTTCAAAGAGACAGCCCTATTTTTACAACATCACTGAATTTTTCAGGTCTCGAGGGGTCACTGACTACAGCCTTAGGGTTATCTCCTGGAATGTCTTGTCGTTCATCAGCAGGAATAATTTCACTCCATAAATGTCCAAATGGTATGTGCCTATCTAGGAAAGATTCTTCATATAAATACCAGAGATCCAAAATTCTACCCAGCCTTAGCTTGTAGGACCATTTTGTGTTAAAATGTAAGATTTCGTAGAATTACATATCAAAGCTATCATTTTCAGTATGGTATCTCACTTGATATAATTTTTCTGTTGAGGGATCACCAATTGACTGAGTGAATGTTTGGCAGAGTTGGAAATATTCTTGTCTCTGGGTCAACTGGTTGGACTCAATTGCCATTTACAAGCGCAGAAAGTGGCCTCTATGGTCTTGGTCACAATATTCTGTCCTCACTTTACTTATACTAGAGGAATAGCCTGAATGGAATGCGTGTCTGGTGATTTCTCATTATATTGTTATCTTCTTTCAATATTATGACTAGTGAACCTACACTGAAAGAGTTCAAGCTCTTTGGCTTCTTTATTGTGCAGTGCAAACCACTCTCAAATAGAATTATTTAACTAATGCACAAGATTCAGTGTAGCGTTTGTTGCCACTGCATTGCATAATTTAGATATTTGGATTGAAGAGATAAATGTCAACATTTTGCTTAACATCAATGAGTTTTATTGAAATGGAGATGCTGACAATGAAGGGCTGTGATTGAGGCAAACTGGAGAGCTAATTTTTCACAACTCATGCACATCAGGTAAGGCCACTGATCGAGAGAGTTCACTTCAGGTCGATTTTATATTGAGCGTAATGACAAGAATTTCTAGAATGCGACCATTTACGTTTTAAGCAGTGTAATGGGTAAAGTGGCATCCCTTATTAACATTTTCCATGGAAAGCGGCCAGAATATTGACAGAATGGTCAATTAAGTGGTAATGGCTACTTAATCCAGTGCCTTATTATCCAGAGTTTACTGTATGTCTTTATTTGTAACTTTGTGCTAGTGAAATCATTACAAAATATTGTTGTAAAATAAACTCATTCACTCGTTCGTCAAATGACCACTATAATATCTGTATGCCTATCCAATCTCTGAGACAGTAGAAAGTATTCCAGGCTGGAACTTGGTATCTCATGCATTTTTCAGAAACAACAATGAACCCCATAAAACACCAAATTCAAATCACGTTATTGTACAGTTTTGCCATGGATCTTTAAAAAATATTAATGAATTTTGATTTTAAAGTATATTTATATTATTTCAAGCATTGCTACTGTTACAGTATTACATTGAAACTCTTTTAGAGTCTATAGTAGAATGATTTATGGCTTCAGATTGTAATAATTTTGGTAGTTCTTGTTCAAAGTAGATATAAAGGTGAGGATATATAGCGTACACCAGCAATTCAATTGAAACCAGCCACAAGAACTGTCATGTTGAGTGACCAGGAAATATTTTTAAACATGAGGTTTGATTGTAAAGTATAAACTACACAAATGTATGATGTGTTTCATATTCTTTGATTTCCTGTTCAGAAAAGCCTTGTGCACTGTTCTGCTCTCCTCTGGGGAAAGACCAGCCTATGTTGATCTCCGAGAAAGTGCTTGATGGAACGCCATGTGGTCCACATGAATCAGACATCTGTGCTAATGGCACATGCTGGGTATGTACAGCTACTCCGATAAAACTAACATTGGTTATCCTGGAGTTTTACTAAAGGTCGATTGCTCCTTTTGAATCCTTTGTAATTATTTTCATGTGCTGTTTTGTTGTTTAAAATAATGCTAGGACAGAGGGAAAGTATTGCTGTCTCTGTTTAATCTTTACGTAGCATACGCCAACTTGAGGCAAGCAATTGTGCATTCTTCTGGGCCTTCAAGGGACAATTCCCCATTTAGCCAGAAGGCTAGTGTACAGGATGTCCATAAAGTTCTTTACTCCCATGTTGACTAGACCAACAACTGAAAAATGTGGAAAAATGATAATAAATGTTTTTTGAAATCCTTAATTGTATTCAGTACACCATCTTTTGTAATATGGATGGAGTGACGACGCGAAATGCATCACTGACAGCTTGTTTCAGCTCCTCTATTGTCTCGTATCGCTGTTTTGTAACAGGGAGAAAAAGGACTTTATGAACACCCAGAGTAGGGCCCTGTGGTGACCTCCTTCTGTGCTGTAAACTTACTATGACAGGCCTGAGAAGACAAAAACCCAAACCAGCTTCTCTTTTTNCTCTTCTTATATTTTAGCTTTTGAAAAGAGTATGATGCAGGAATTCATCTTACTGCCATACACAAAATACAATTAATTCAAAACTCCACCGCCCGCATACTCACCCATATTAAAACTCCATACCCCCATCATACCAGTCCTTACTATGCTCCACTGGCTCCCAATTACCGAACGGGTCGATTTCAAGATCCTCTCACTCGTTTTCAAATCCCTTTGTGCCTCACACCTCCCTACATATTCAATTTTCTTACCCCCCACTCCACCATCCAATGCCTCCGCTCGGCTGGCTCCAGCCTGCTGTTTGTCTCTCATCCTCTCCCCTCCACCATCGATGGCCATGCCTTCAGCCACTACTCCCCAAAACTCTGGAACTTTCTCCCTCAATCCCTCCACCATACCCCCTCCCTCGGCAAGTTTAAATCTAAACTAAAGACCTTCCTTTTTGATTGTGCTTATGGTCACCTCCCCCTCCCTCTCCCCTTGGCTTGTTGTCAGACACCGCCACTGTGAAGCGCACCGGGACGCTACTCTGCATTAAAGGGTACTATATAAATGCAAATTGTTGCTGTTGTCCTGAAATGCAGAATGGATATTGTAAATTCTAAATAAATAGGTGACTTTTAAGTATATTCACTTAAAGGATAGATCTGGTGAGGGCCCCACATTCAGTCTTCCTTCACTTTACAGATACATAACCAGCTTCAGTGTCTGCTAAACATTCCCAGGCCTGCAGAACATATTGAAATAATGTTACATACACACCCACCTCCCATGTCCAATAATTGTGGTAAACCACTTCTCTGTGCATTATTGAAATGGCAATTTGAAAAGGTAGTATATTTCAGTGCTCCCAGCCACTATCTTTTGTCAAGGGCACTATATATACTAGTGTTGTATAAACCAATCACTGGAAAACCCTAGAAGCCTGAACTCTGTTATTGGACTTTCAGTGGGCAACTTCTCTCCTTTTCATGCCTCAAAGCACCTCCCCGCCTGCCATGGATAGCGCAGCTGATTCTACTCAGTTGGCCAAAGGAAAGAGGGAAAAGAACGCATTGGCATCCCTCCTTAAACCCCACAAAGGAGCGGTACCCAGTTTAGTGCCAACCCTTGAAAAATATAGAAAAATCTTTACACATTACTTTCTGCCCCAAAACACACACAGATACACAAACAGACACACACACAAATTGTCCAATCTTCCTCAATGGACAGAGGGGTTGAAAATATAGCATTTGCAAAACAGACAATCCCAATATCTTCAAGAGTACAAGAGTACATTAACCTATACTCGTTAATAATAATAATAATCCTTGCATTTGATACAGCGCCTTATCACTTTATTGATACATCTCAAAGCCCTTTACAGGAAATTCTGTAAAATGGTTTGACTGTATTTTTTAGATAAAACGCAGCAGCCAGTTGCACACAGCAATGCCCCACAAGCAGCCATGAAGTGAGTGACCAATTTTATTTGGGGTATTGTTGGCCAGAAGACTGGGAGAAACTCCCTCTCTTTTCAAATAGTGCTATAGGATCTTTAGCATCTACCTGAATAGACAGACAGGATCTCGGTTTAATGTCGAAGGATGGCCCCTCTGACAATACAACACCTCCCCAACATTGCATTGGAGTGTCAGTTTAGATGATGTGATTCTGAGTCCCGAGTGGGGCATGAACTCACAACCTTCTGACTCAGAGGCAAGAGTGCACCACTGAGCCATGCTGACACACTACATACCAATATATGCTGACAGTATATATTGTATATACTGTATATACAATGTATAATGACTTAAACCAAACCAACTTGGTGAAGCCAAGTAAATCAATCCAACGTTTTGAAAAATAATAACTAAAGAATTAAATTAAACAGAAAGCCTCAGAACTTTACATTGAACAGAAAAACTCAAACTAAGATATGGTTAAACTTTATGTTTCAGACGGGCTTACTGTTATCTGTGAAGTTCACTGAAAGCTTAACCAGTGAAGAGTTGTAAAATGCACATTATATGACAAGTCAACTAACTCCTCTTTCACATAAACTTTGAGGGCCTAGAATCAACCCAGAAGGCACAAAGACCAATGGAGGTCAATTGCAGTGCATTTGCTGATTTAACATATGGAATGGATTGGACAATGGCCATAAATTAAAGATAACAAATGTAGTTTTAAATCCAGTCGAACATGTTTAATACTATGGATTGTCAAGTGTTAAAAAATAAAGCTCTTTGTAATATAACATATCTTCTTGCAAGACAGAAACCTGACAGCTGTAAATGTCAGGTTAGAGTGCAATGTGATGACAGGCAAGGCAGTGCCTATAATTTTAGTAATAATAATTTTTCTGAACAGCTTCAAAACCAATTTTGTTTGAATTTTTACGTTGGATTCCTGAAACAGCCACATGTTGGAAATCCTCAAATTGGCCCCATTTTGCAAGATAGTTTTTCAAGATGATTTGGCTCCTTCAGAAACCCAAAGTATCATACCTTTTTAGTCTTAAAATTTTAAATATTCATTCATAATGAAACAAAAGGATTTAAATCAATATTACAAATTTATTTTCTGATAGATTGCAGTGGAAGAAATGTTGCATTCAAAGACAAGAGTGTATTGCTGTATTCATAGCTAGTGTTGGTCTCAATTATTTTGTGTTTTATGTGGTAAGTAGCCACTTTCAGGTAACTGAACTATTGATCGATCAATTCATTCATTCAGACTCTTGGATTATTAAAATCACCTGGCCTGGATTATATGGCCTCAGAATAGTGAAGGAAGTCAAGGAGGAAAGAATGAACTGCGAAAATCTCTTTCTGCTGGTTGGAGATTCAAGGACATGAGGGCAAGAATTTAAGATTGTGACTGGATAGTGAAAGGAGAGGTTCAGAAAACCGTCTTTTGTTTGAGAATGGAATGAGTTGCTGGGGATGGCTGTTAGAGCAGAGCCATTTGAGGACATTTAAAAAAGAATTAGGCAAATACATGCAGAGGTAGGGCATTAGAGGGTACGGAGGAAGAGCAGGGAATTGAAAATACGATGAATGGCTTCTTGGAGGGGCAAACATAAAATAATGGGCCGATTGGCTTTGTATTGTAATGTACATTTATATGGTTTCTTTGGAGCCTGCAATCTTCCAAAAAAATAGATGCCGGAGGACTGGGGGTTGACAAATGTTCAAAACCAGAGAAATAATTAACTTTGGGAATTACAGTCCAGTTTGTGTTGATCTGGGAGAATAAGCATGGATTTGTTTGTAAAGGGCAGGTTATTTTTGATAATTTAATTTGTTTTTCAATTAAATCATATAGTCCACAGATAGAACAATTACAGTTGATGTCATATGAAATATGCAAATGAGATTCTAGATATATATAGAGGGACGTATTCAAAAGCAAAGAAGTTACGTTAAATTCACACAAGACATGGTTTGATTGCAATTGAAATACTGCTTGCCGTTCTGAGCGACCTTTTACGCAAAGGGTATCAAAGCCAAAAAGCGTGTACAGCATAGGCTCACTCAGGTAAATGCAGAAATGAGAGGTTTTAGCTATGACGGTGGTAACCAACTATTTTGGTCGGCCAAACAAATACATTTTTCTTTATTGAATTTTTCTTCATTTATGGACGCGCTATGGGTATCGCAGTTCAGTTAGGTTTCATAGGATCTTGTATAATGTTGCTAATAGATAAAAGTGGAATAAATAATCCTTGCATTTCATATAGCGCCATGTCACGTTTTTGAAACATCTCAAAGCGCTTAAAGACGTCCTCACGATATGAAAGTGTCTGCCGTACTTTCAGATTTATGAGTCTATATCAGAAACTTTAATCAGCAACGGGAAATGGTTCAAAGGCTTCCTGGCAAAGAAACAAAATCTCCATAAAACCTCAAACCTAATAATCCAAGTTCTAAAACTGTGGTTAGTATTCTGTTTGTTCAGCACATCTCCCCAGTGATGAAGCATCTTAAGCAATTAAATGAATCCCTGACGTTTCCTTAATTGCTGACCCTGCAATATCTTCATTTGGTTACTCAATTTGTCTCTTTTAACCCGTAACCTGCAAAACCTGCCTCCATGCTCTCAGTAATCATCTGTTGGCAGAACCTTCCAGGAATAAGAAATGAGTTGTGTTCTGGAGGAGGGGGAAAGTTTCGGCAATGGAAATCAACCCGTTAACACATAACAATGCCTTCTACCAACAAGCTGGTGGTCTGAGAGAGACCTGATGATTAAAATGAAAATGACTGAAAATGTTGCATAATCTTAGATGCTGCAATCAGCATTTGAAAGCATATTGTAGCCATAAAAAGGAACTATTTTCCAGATGCTCGTAATGCTTACTGGTGCCTGAAGCAGAAATGGTGAGTGAATTAAATGAGCTCTCTATTTTGGATGGGAGGGAGTTGTCATTTTCTGACGCAGAGTTTGAGCTGTGATAAAAGGAACTTGTGAGCCTGCTGCAAAAACACCAATACAATCCATTATGGGGAGCAAGGGTGGCGGGGGGTGCTGATAAAAGGAGTTTTCTTCACTTAAGGGCCTGCACACATATCAGCTTTATGTCTAACCTGGACTTACATGATTTTCCATGATAAGCACTGAATAAGATCTTTGTAGGGTTAACAGGAGTCAAGTTAGAAGAATCTCAGCGACTGATCACTTCCACATCCTTTCTAATGAGCCAAGCTGGCTGGCCCATCATCAAAAATGCCCTGGAGGACTTCAGACCTGCCCAGCTCAGGTACTGGACCTTTGCCAGGCATGTCACTTTAGAGTGAAGTCAGTGCCAAAGACCCTGCATTATCTCCCTCCATCTGACAGGTTTGAATGCTGACAAGGTGGATACTAGGTACAAGAAACTCCTTATGAGTTGCGTGTTGAGCCGCGCAGCACAATTAATAATAATAATAATCCTTGCATTTGATGTAGCGCTTTTCACGTCGGGAAGACGTCCCAAAGCGCTTCACAGAACACACTGTAAAGTGAATTGACTGTATATTTGTGGGCGAACGCGGCAGCCAATTGCACACAGCAATGTCCCACAAACAGTCATAGATTGAAAATGACCAATTTATTATTGTTTTTGGTTTTGGAGGGATTATTATTAGGCTCTGTGTGGAGTAAGGAAACTTGCCCAAGGTTTCGCCCTCTGCCTGGAATTGAACTCAGGTCTCTCGCTTGCATAGCGAGTGCTCTAACCACTGAGCTTTGTGGAGTCCTGTGGCTCAGTGGTTAGAGCACTCGCTTTGCAAGTGAGAGACCTGAGTTCAATTCCAGGCAGAGGGCGAAACCTTGGGCAAGTTTCCTTACTCCACACGCCTAATAATAATCCCTCCAAAAAAACAAAACAATAATAAATTGGTCATTTTCAATCCATATGACTGTTTGTGGGACATCACTGTGCGCAATTGACTGCCGCGTTCGCCCACAAATATACAGTCAATTCACTTTACAGTGTGTTCTGTGAAGCGCTTTGGGACATCCTCCCGACATGAAAAGCGCTATATCAAATGCAAGGATTATTATTATTATTACAGGACTCCAGCAATTCAGCATAAACTGATGAGAACACCACTAACACGATTCTGACAATAGCCCAGGCACACACCCCTACCCATAGAGCAGTGATTCACTAGTTGGAAGTACAGAGCTTCACATACCCACTAAATTCAAACAGAAGATTTGTGGGCATCTGTCATTCTGAATAAAGAACCCATAGGCTGGATGTGTTGTCGGAAAAGAAGTAGGAGGGACCATTCATCCAATCCTTCTCCACCTAAAGAGTCCCCCCCACCTGTTCCCACACACTCGACCAGATAGGCTGGGATCAAGTGAAAGGGTTGAAGCTACACTAACCCACTTGACACCCAACCATTCAGTAGGAAGGACGACATACCCCTCCAATCAACAGACCAACATGTCATCCAACTCACATTCTATATTCAACCTCAGCCTCCTGCTGTTGATGAAAAGAGCTCCTCCAATGTACTCAACTGTTTCTAGTGCACACACAGTAATCCCGAAATGTGGAATCTGCAATATAATCTAACCACTGCTCAATTGTATTATTCTGAAAAGCACCATGAGTGCATTGTGTGAGAATTATCAATGAAGAAAAGAGTATTTAGGAATCGGCTTTTTATTTGATGTAGTTAAAGAGGCAAACGCATACACCCTCATTGAGAATAATTATCATTCTGTTTCGTATAGAAAGTTGGCTGTGATGGCATACTCGGGTCCTCAGCAAGAGAAGATCACTGTGGTGTGTGCAATGGGAATGGAAGATCGTGTAAAGTCATCAAAGGAGATTTTAATCACACCAGAGGGGCAGGTATGTTGCATTCTTCTGTGGATTATAGAATTTCTGGAGTATCAAGGGGTTTCTCTTGCTGTGAATAAACTTCCTACCAAGTAAATAATTCATTCCATTAGGAAGAATAAGAAACGGTACGGCACTGAGGTTCAGTTTTGAAATATGATTGAAAGCGTTTAATACATATGTGCATCATCAGTCAGCGTTCTCATCTTAGTGACTACTATGCAGGACTGCTGACAACTCCTGTCATCTATTATTTCTGTCTCTATTGCAAGCACACCTTGTTGAACAACAACAACGGCAACAAAATAACATTTGTATAGCGCCTTTCACGTCGGGAGGACATCTCAAGGCGCTGGACAGACAGAGTTTCGGACCCGAGCTGGTGGTCAGGGTCGGAGAGTGTGGAGGGCAGAGGGGGAAGCAGGGACATCGAAAGCACGGTCGAAGAGGAGGATCTTGAGATGGGTCTTCAAGGAGGCAAGGGAGGGGGTGAATCGGAGGGACTGCAGATGGAGTTCCAGAGAGTGGGGGCAAAGTGGCAGAAGGCCTGCCCGCGAGCGAGGCAGCGGATATGAAGCAGGCCAGAGTCCGCTGAACGGAGGAAGCGAGCAGGATGGTAGGGGGTTAGGAGATCACAGAGGTAGGGGAGAACAAGACCATGGAGGGTTTTGAAGGTGAGGACCAGGATTTTGAACTGTATCCTCTGTGTGATGGGAAGCCAGTGGAGTTGGGTAATGATGGGGGTGATAGGGTCACGGAGCCTGGTGCGGGAGAGGACGCAGGCTGCAGAGTTCTGAATGATCTGCAGCCTATGGAGGGAGGAGTTGGTGAGGCTGACAAGTAATGAGTTTGCATAGTCGAGCCTCGATGTAATGATGGCGTATATGAGGGTTTCGGCGGCCTGCGGTGTGAGACAGTGGTGGAGCCGGGCGATGTTGCGGAGGTGGGGGAAGGCAGAGCAGGTCATGGCGCAGATGTGGAGTAGAAAGGATAGTTGAGGGTCTGACAAGACCCCAAGGTTCCTGACTGGCTCAGTGAGATGGAGTGTGCAACCATGGATGGTGATGCTGTCAGCGCTTGAGGTGAGGAAGCGCTGATGGGAGCCAATCAGGAGAGCCTCGGTCCTGTGTTATTTATGTACCATGATAGAAACTCGGAACCCACTAATTTGCAACTCTAGGCAGCAGACACACCTATGCAAAATACTTGCATTCTTGAAAATGACTTATACAGGCATCATGAAGCAATTTTGTATGTGCTACATCCCCCTGGTATAATAGCTGGAAGAGGAACAGCAGCAGGATCTGCAAAGTGATATTTTAATGGGAATTTTATAGTTTCTGCTTGCCCTATATTTAAACAGTCAAAATACCTCTGTAAGGGATTGTGTTGTGAAACTATTTCTAACATTAACCATGAACACTATAACACTATAGCAAAAGTGCTTTGAGACATCCTCCCGATGTGAAAGGTACTTCATGTATTGTATTGTAATAACATAGTGATGAGGCAAAACATTGGATTTTAAATGCAAGTAGTCAAAACTGCTAATGGAAACAAGATAATCCATGCTATCGCTGATACATTAGGAGAAGGTTTCTCCTCTATTACAGCACATTCTGTTTCAAATGACAAAGGGAGCTCTTGGCAAATCTGAACTTGTTGAATGTTCCTTGATCCAAGATCAGAGTTTAAAAACACCCTTTAGCAAACTTATTTGGCTTCACAATGTATTTGAGCGGAACACCACTTCTGGATTAACACATTCTTCAGAGTGAATGATTCAGGGATTCCTTCACAGATCACCTTGTTCAATAGCTAGAAAGCATTATATCATGTCACACTTTTCAATTACAGTCTGCTGTCAGACCTGGGAGCCCAACATGATTGTTATTAGGAGAACTGCAGACAGCTGGAATATTGAATAGCATGTTGCTCATGCAATCTGTTGAATCATATTTATAAATTATCATATTTTACATCCAAAGTTTGCAGTACTGTTCCTCCTGTGTGTGCAATCGGTTGCTGAGTTTTGACCGCAAAATATACAGTGCACTTTACAGTATTTTCTGTGAAGCACATTTCGATGTCTCGAAGACATGATAAGGCACTATATCAAATGCAAGGATTATTATTACACATTTTTCATAAAAATCATTTTATTCCTTTGAGAATTTAATAATAATAATGCTTACATTTCATGTAGTGCCTTATCATGGCGCTGAGACATCTCAAAGCACTTCACAGAATATACTGTAAAGTGAATTGCATATTTCATGAAGTAACAGTTCTACAATACAGATTAAACCGTGACTAGCTGCTCTAAGAGGGGGTGATCTGTTTAAGTGTAATTACAATGTCGGTACTTGCATTTTTCAGCACTGCATTTTTGTACTCCGCAAATGACAAAGGTGTTTTAGGATTCTATTCCACTGGACGTAAAGTCCAGCATTCTAATTGCAATCTTTATGGCCTTATCCACCTGTGTTGCTACTCTTAGACCTGTATTAATCTGAATCCTCAGAACATCTATTTAAGGGTGTTTCCGTAGAGCTCTACCAAACGTGGACTCCCTCCCCCACCTTTATTAAAGTCTGAGCTGAAATGTTGTTAATATTTCATACACAAAGCTAACTATATGTATGTCATACTAGATGACATCTGCAAGGCATATATATGGAGTAAACTTAAGTTTCACCAAACATTACTGTCTGGATTTGATTTTAAAGTGGGATCTATAGTCTGGCTGAGTTGTGTTGCCCTCTGTCTTCAATTATAACCAGACAGATCCTATATCCTTCTAAAGAGGTACTGCTTTGGGAGTTCTATCCGTGATTTGTGAAGGATAAAGATTTGGAAGAAAAATGGATAACTGTCTTTACTTGTGTTATTGCACATTTCTTGAATGAAGTTATCCTCATTTATAACGTGCAAGGTTCACTTCAAACCCAGGGCCTGGCTTAATTGGATTGTACAATTGTACAAATGAGCAGGCCATGGAGCAGGCTGGAGCCTGTTGAGCAGAGGGAGCAGTCAGGTCGATATGGAGTTAGCAGGTCACAGAGATAGGAAGGAGAAAGTCCTTGGAGGGCTTTGAAGGCGAGGACGAGGATTTTGAACTCTATCCTCTGGGATAGAATTCAAAACTTATGCAATACTGTTTCCATCATTGCTATATCCTTCTTATAGTGTGGAGATGAGAATAGGACACAATACTCCAAATGTAGTCTAACCAAGATATATATATATAAATTCAACATCACTTCTTCACTTTTATACTTTATATTCTATCTCTCAGGATATAAAGCCCAAGACCTAATTGGCCTTTTTATAGCCTTATCAACTTGCATATCTACTTTTAGAGTCTTGTAGATCTGAATCCTCTTAGGTTCCTACAATCTGACTATAGATGACTTCTTTACTTTTCCCTGCCAAAGTAAATTACTTCACACTTTCCCACATTTAATTTCATTTGCTATCTGTCATTTATGTCTGCTTGCGTTCTTCTGGAATCCCATTCACTGTTTACCATGAACCCCCCGCCACCCCACCACATACAGTTTGGTCTCATCTGCAAATTGTGACAACAACAACAAGTTGCATTTATATAGCGCACTCCACTCAGGGTAGCGTCTCAGAGCACTTAAAAGTGGTGGGGGGGGGGTGACACCAGACCTCCTATACCTGAATCCAATTTATGTATATGGTGAACACTTGTGGTCCTCACACAGATCCCTGTGAAACACTGCTTCCTACATCTTGCCAGCCCGAGAAGATATTTAGCTCCTACCCTTTGCTTTTAGTTTACTAACCATTCTTTAATCTATTCTGCAACCTCTCTATGATTCCATATGCCCCTATTTTAGTCTGAGCCTCTGATGTAGCACTTTATCAAAGGCCTTCTGGAATAGTTACTTTGTATGCTTCTTGCAACCAATGTATTCTTGAAATAGAATAAAGCTTATTATTAATTTAAACCAAATTGTTAAATATTATTCTGAGGTTATTGAATTTACTGTATAGAATATTAACTGTTCATAATCTCAATTCACAAACGGAATTGAAGATTAGTGAAGTAGATAATTATTTCAGGAAGACAAGTTTGCAGTGCTATGGGGAGAGACCAGGGGAGTGGAATTGAATTGGATAACTCTTTTTTCAAAGAGCAGGCTAAATGGGCTAAATGGTCTCCTTCTGTGCTGTATAATTCTATGATTATATGAACTAGGCTCCCTACCTGTTTTTCTCTCCTGTTCTCATGCTTTCAGTGTTTGAGAAATGCTGCGTTGGTGGTCAAATAGAAAAACAGAGCAATGCTATGATCCTTAATCCTTTCCACCATTGATGTTTTGTTCTAGCCATTTCCATAAACAATGGATACAGCTAAAGATGAGTAATTACTTTAATGCTACCATTACTTTAATGCTACCACAGTGGTGGTGAAATATTGTGTTTCATGACTTTGAGAATGTTGGCCAAATAGCAACATGCTTTTGATTTTATTGGAGTTTGATCAAAGCTTCGGTTGAAAAAATATCATAGAAAAATATGACTTCACCCTGTTTTACTTTGCAGAGCTATGCATCTAAGCATAGCTGTTTACCATGCCCCTGTTCCCATTGTTATTTTGCTTTTTCCCCATACTGACTTTGTGAAGACAATTGTCCTTTACATTTACACTGATCCTCGTTGTAACAGCATATATATATATATATAACATGACAAAACTTGGCTTAGCTGTTTTGCTCAGTTGTTATTACTGTCGTCTCTGAGCCAGACGCTTGTGGTTATGAACCCACTTTGGGACTTCAGATCATAATCTGAATTGATGCTCCAGTGCAGCACTCAGGGAGGTACCATCTTTCAGATGAGTTATGAAATTAAGTTTGTCTTGCTGTTCAGATAATTGAATAGATGTTAAGATCCCATAGTCCCATTTTTAAGAAGAGTTCTGTGAGTATTCTTCCTTCGTACAAGTGATTAAAGAAAATTACAATTTCTCCAAATTAATAATAATAATAATCCTTGCATTTGATACAGGGGTTTTCACGTCTTCTAGACGTCCCAAAGCGCTTCACAGGATATACTGTAAAGTGAATTGACTGTATATTTGTGGGCGAACGCGGCAGCCAATTGCGCACAGCAATGTTTCACAAACAGTCATGGATTGAAAATGACCAATTTATTATTGTTTTTTTTTTGAGGGATTATTGTTAGGCGTGTGGAGTAAGGAAACTTGCCCAAGGTTTCGCCCTCTGCCTGGAATTGAACTCAGGTCTCTCACTTGCAAAGCGAGTGCTCTAACCACTGAGCTCCACGACTCCACATTAACTTGCATTTGCCAACAGAACACAAGCACTAAGATGTTTAGACATAATACAACTAAACAAAATGCAAGTAATATTATTATAGTAAAATTGTTTCATTTCCAAACAGGAATGAATATGTATCATAACATTATGTAACCATGAAAGGAATATTTTGCAGCCCTAAATGCCTGTAAAAGTATTTACAATGAATCAAGCAGCTTCTATTAGAACATAAGAATTAGGAGCAGGAGTAGGCCATTCGGCCCCTCGAGCCGGCCCCGCCATTCGATAAGATCATGGCTGATCTTCGGACCTAACTCTAATTACCTGCTCTATCCCCATATCCCCTAATCCCTCTATTTTTTAAAAATGTTGGCTTTCAAACTACCAAGCATGTTTAATGCCTACTTTATGCAATGGCTTTCATAGCTACTGAATAACAGTGAATAAACATGTATAAATTGCATGTGAGATATTGATCGCAAAGCATTTCAGGCAACAGTCTAGCTGTCAAGATTAATCTGAGATGGTTTCATCAGGATATCAATCTATGTCGCTCCAGTATAAATGCAAGGTGTGCAAATTGAATCACACTCAAAAATAGTTCCACAAATGTTCATTGGTTGTTCTACTAAAAACATCTCAGGGACTATTGATATATAGGCTCTTTAATAGCATTTTAAAAACTAGCACAAATAGCAGAGTTCTACATATGTGCTTAATTATGTGTGCGCTGAGTTCTCATCAGCCTCTGATCGGGAGCCGGAAATATAAATCTTGTGTCCCGCTCCGAATTGCTCTACTGCTGGAAGCGATGTGGTTTTGGACTAAGATTTCCCGCAAGATGATTTTCCACTCCTTGTGGAAGAAGATTCCTCTTGGAAGTAGAACTTGTCCACAGCAAGCAGGAGAAAACAGAACAGGTCAACAGTGGCAGCAACTGCACATGGGAGCAAGCGAATGTCCAAGCTAGGGTGTGTGAACAAGAGCCATGCTATTTCTGGTTGCTTGCATCAACTAAAGGAACTCTGTGAATAATAATATAAAATAATTCTGTTCACTGAAAGTGGCACTAAAGGTCTTGCTCCATTTTTACAAGGAATTTCACAAACATGAGTGAGCAGAGTTTGCAAGTTGGCATTATGGATACAGTGTTCATTTTAGGAACCTAAATTGTTTTACCTTGTTCTGTCGATCTGTGATGATTTAAACTTGTCCAATCTGGTTGAGGATCTTTCCCCATTGCTTTTGGCAATATGCAGATTAATTTGCATGTCGCATTATGGTCACTGCTCAATTTTGGCACGATTTATCTGTAGGGTCAATGCCAAAAGGGCTGAGGGTTAAAATTCCAGAATACAAATGTTGAAAGAGTTAACATCAACTTAGAGATGCTGGTTCACTTGTGGTGAGATAGCCATAAGGAGATCTAATAGAGAGCTTAGGAAGAACTTATTCACGCAGAGGATGGTTAGAATGTGGACATTACTGATGGAGGCTGTGATTAAAGCAGAAACCATCAACATATTTACAGAGATTTAAGAATAATAATTTACAGAGAATGCACAGCATGGAAACAGGCCACTTAGCCTAACCAGTCCATGCTGGCCATATACCACACAAGTCTCCACCCATTCCTTACTTCCTCCCACACCCTTCTATTCCCCTCTCCCACATGTCAAGGTCTAGTTTCTCTTGAATGCATCTGTTCCACCTGATTCAACCATTGCTTCAGGGAGGAAGTTCCATAATCTCCCTATCCTCTACATGAAGTAATTCCTCCTATATTCTCTTTTAGTATTTATGAGGAAATATGATGCACACATGAGGGAGAAGGGTATAGGAGAAACGAATAGGAGGGATGGCAGCTTGTGTGGAAAATAAGCATCAGCAAAAAACAAAATTACATTTGTATAGTGCCTTTCATGTCGAGAGGACGTCCCAAGGCGCTGGACAGGCCAATTGGATCAAATGGCCTATTTCCATGCTGTATCACTTTATGTAACTCTATGTAAGATATTCTTGGAAGAATATCTTCTCTAACACCATCCAGCAACTGGGAACTTACAAGGAACATGGCAAGATCCTCTGACAGAAATGTTAGGCAGCTCCATGAAAGGGAAGATCTTTCAATGGTGGGAGCTCAGAGTTGTCTGTCATCTGGGAAACTGCATTTTATTAGCTTTTGGGCATTTGATGTTGTACACATTGAAGGGTCTAACATGGTTCACCAGACAGCAAATACAATGGGCAAAAGTGCATTTGTATTTAACTTACACATTCTTTCTTTGCAGCTAATTCTACTTTCGGTGACAAAATGATTTGCCTTAACAGAGGTCGATTCTGCGTGCAAATATCTACCTTTTATCACGTCTTTCTCTGTAGAGAATCATAATATTAATAATCCTTGCATTATTATTTTTTGAAGACATTATTACCCCCAGAAAAGCGATCCGCCAATCGACTAAAAACCGGGTTCCTACTTACTGCTAGGCAAACAGAAGCATGTGTGTGGAGTAAGGAAACTTGCCCAACATTTCGCCCTGCCCAGGAGTCGAATCCAGATCTCTCGTTTGCGAGGCGAGTGCTCTAACCACTTGAGCTACAGGACTTTGTTGAGTCACATCCTACACTATTGCACTGGTGTGTCCTATAGGAGGGTGTTCATTGAAGGAATAGACATGGCAGAGAGTTAAGAAAGTGGTATTGGTAGGACTGTTGGTCAGGGTATGGGGAGGAACTACCTTCTGTTCTTAAATAGTGTCATGGGAATTTCAACATCCATCTGAATGGGACCTTCGTTTAACGTCTCAACTGCTGACTTATCCTCCATGTTGGGCCAGTCTGCAGCAGCCTGGAGCATGCTTTCCCCATCATTTGACATCCATAAATCAGAGCTGGTCTTAAAGAAGTCTAAAACGATGGAATTCACAGAGCAAAGTAATGCCGGTCAACCGTTCACCCGTTAACGAGGCCTAATTAAATCTTTCATGCTGATAATGTGAATTTTTTAATGCTAGAAAAAAAACAATGGAATTTTGCTTGTATTTTAGCACAAGTTTTTCTTTCTAAATTCTGTCATTAATTCTGCGAATGTATGCCTAGAATTTCTCCCCTGGAGTGCGCACAGACTGAAATTGTATTTTTATTGTGCACTCCAGCACATCTGCTGCCATTGTCTCTAAATCATGTTTTCACTGTTCTTTTCTCAGGCTATGTTGAGGCTCTGGTGATACCTGCAGGAGCGAGGAGGATTCGAGTCGTCGAGGAAAAGCCAGCACACAGTTATCTTGGTAATTTCTTGGTCATTTGCTCCAGTCTGTATAAATGTCTGTCTGTGATCCACTCCGCTCTCTGCCTCTCCCATCTTTTTCTGCTTACTGGCAATAAGTTAGACTGATGTGGGTCATGTGGTTACTACCATATTTACTCAATCTAAGGCACTCTCAAAACTATCGTACAGACAGATTTTATAGGATTTGGGGGGCTTATAAAGAACTTCACTGCTTTCTATCCATTAATCCTGACACAAATCTTCAATTTTGAAATATATTTTAATGGAAATAAATCTGTGCCTTAGATTCCAGTAAATGCAGTAAACTTTCTTTCAGTCTGAGTATTTAATGAGTTTGTAATTTTAATGAAGTCAAAATTAACAATACGGAAATATTTCAAATGAACTCATGTGTCAGATTCTGGACAACTTTGTGATCATAAATCTTATGTAGGATATTTTGTTACGTTACTTTTTGTGTTTACCAAAAATATTCGGTTGCAATTACCAATTATTTACTGTTTTCCTTTCTTTAAAAAAAAATTATTTTTTCTTGCTGTTTTTCTCCCATCCTCTCCAGGAGGTACTGACTCATGCTGGGATATGTTGGTATTCCCATCTTCATGCGTAAGCCTAGGCATTTTAGGAGGATTTTTATCAAACACATGTGGAAGCCTATTGTCATGCTTAAGAGTATTCAAACCAAACCACATATGTCCACCACCTATTAATGGAAGTTTCCTTGTGTCTGTATTAGAATGTGCACTCTCTCCCTCAGAACTGGGACATTTCCAGCCTATTTGTCTGGTTTATAATGGAGTATGAATTTACCGTTGAGAGGCTTTTTGTTTTGTTACGCCTGCCAAGATATTATCCTACATGAAGGATGCTACATAAATACAAGTTGTTTTAGTGTGTAAAAGTTACAAACTTTATGCAGTTTTACACAGGAAAAGGTAAGAAGCTGGGATGGGGGCAACAATTCACCCCTCATCTTCCAATTCCTAAACCAGGAAGTGATGCAAACATAACCTGCATGTTTCAATAATAACAACTTGTACTTATACAGTACCCTTCATGCAGGGTAGCATCTCAGAGTGCTTAACAGTGGCAGGGCCTGACTCCATGACAGGCGTGGGGAGGTGGTTGTAAGCACGGTCGAAGAAGAAAGTTGTCAGGTGGGAGTTGAAAAGGGGGAGGGGGCAAGGCTGAAGGATTGAGGGAGAGTGTTTCAGAGTTTCGGGGTGTAGTAGCTGAAAGCGCGACCTCCTATGGTCGGGCAGGGGGTGCGAGGGACGAGCAGGAGGCCGGTGTCAGTCGAGCGGAGGTGCCGGGTAGTGGCTTGGGGAGTGAGGAGATCGGAGCGGTAGGGAGGTGCCAGGGAGTGATGGGATTTGAACACAATAAATTTGAACATTTATTGCAAACTTCGCCCCCCCTCACATCCCCACGATCACATTTTTCAAGTTAGACGTGCCTCTTCAGACTCCTATCAGGTAATGAAGTGCCTATGAGTTATGTAGATCTTTATCAGAAGCCTAAGTCTATATTTCTCAGGTTTTTTTTATTGCTGGCCAGTTTGTTCTGCTTTTATTAATACTCAGCTGAACAGAAACTTGTCAAGTAGTTTTGTTCATTGCGTGTGAAATGTTGAATTATATGAAAAGGGTGATATTCAATTTTCCCAAATGAATAGAAGAGATTCGATGTTCTGACATTTATTTTCAATAAGGCAGCTTTATAGATTTCACTTTACATTAACAACAACAACAAGATTGCATTTATAGAGCACCTTTCACGTCGGGAGGACGTCCCAAGGCGCTGGATAGTTGGGTCAGGACCCGAGCAGGAGGGAAATGGTCAGGGTGAGGGGAAGGAAGGGAGGGAGCGAGGAGGGGGTAGAGAGTCGAGAGGGGAGCTGAAGGCACGGTCAAAGAGAAAGGTCTTGAGACCGGCCTTGAAGGAGGAAAGGGAGGAGGCGGCGAAGGCACTGGGGGATGGAGTTCCAGAGCCTCGGGGCTGAGAGGCTGAAGGCCCGGCCACCGATGGTAGGGCGGTTGGGGCGGGGGATGTGGAGCAGACTGGAGCCAGAGGAACGGAGGGTGCAGGCAGGTACGTGGGGGGATAGTAGGTCGGAGAGGCAGGAGGGAGCAAGGCCGTGAATGGCCTTGTAGGTGAGGATGAGGATCTTGAATTTGATCCTCTGGGGGATGGGGAGCCAGTGGAGGTGAGCGAGGGTGGGAGTGATGTGGTCCTGGTGCGGGACAGTACACGAGCTGCAGAGTTCTGAATGACCTGCAGCTTGTGGAGGGAGGTGCCGGGAAGGACGATGAGGAGAGAGTTCCCGTAGTCCAGCCTTGAGGTGATAAAGGCGTGGACCAGAGTTTCAGCAGCGTGAGGGGTGAGGTAGTGCCGTAGTCTGGCGATGTTCCGGAGGTGGTGGAAGGCAGTGCCAGCTGTGGCGCAGATGTGGGGAAGAAGATAATAAAGTGAGGTTTCAATGGAAATGTGTACAATTAAACATGTTTAGTACATTAGGAGAGTTTTACACTGGATCACTGCACTTAAAATCTAGACCTGGCATAAGATAAAATAACTTCTCGCATGATTATCCCCAGTAATGTATACCTTCCAGTCTGGAATTGTAGTGTTAAATTGACTAAATTTAACACTACAATTCAAGTAGAACTTTCCTTATCAGATGATGATGATCTCATGTAAGGTTGGGTAGCTCGTGTATTAGTGTGAACTGGTGTAAGGCACAGCCTGTCCATGCACAGTCAGGATCATTGTCTTCATGAGATGAGTTGTTCCAAACAGAAAACAACTGTCCATGGTATCAATCAGCCGTGCGACAAAAAACCCTCACGCACATAGAAATGCAGCTAGGCATTGATACCAGGCTGGGGTCCTGCTGAATGTCCTGGAGACTCGTTATAACAGATGAATGCTAACATATTTATTTCAGACCGTTTCCCCCTCTCATACCTTTCCACTGTTCCAAATCTGAGGTACAAATGTCCATTGCCGTTCATAGTGAAGGAATCATGGATACAATCCTTCAAAAGCTTTAGTGCCACCTAAATAATAGAGAGCAGCAAAATTCCTTCCACATCTTTGATTGCCACATACCCTTATCAGATCTATTAGCAAATGTGAGCCAAAGGGAAAGTGCGCCAATAAGATAGTCCACTAAGTTTCTTCACAAGCCCAATGACCCCTTATTTGTATAGACAGCACATGGTGCTAGCAGTACAGGGTGTGGAATGGGCAATTCCAAGGAGGAAATGAAGGAACCGGAGAGCCATAAAGCAAGGTTCCCACTTGCCACTCAACAGGCATTGTTGGATGGGATTACGGCATAGAAGAAGTAATTCTTGTGGAGTGCAGGAAATATCCCTTGCATGAAGGCAAGAAAAAGGACCTAAGATAAAATCACCATCACGGCGAATGCCTTTTGTAAGCCAAGGCAGTCCAGCAAGAAAAACTGAAGAAATGACTCAATCTAAAGTGCCATGGTAAGGTACGTACTCAAAAGTTATCCGTAACTTAATGTCCTGAATATTTCAAGGGTAAATAGTGTGCAAGGGATTGGCGAATGGCAGTATTGCTACCTGTAGATATATTGTTCGGAAGCCTTCATTATCCCATAAGGATTTTGACTTGCCTTCATGGAGAATGAAAATGATGAGAAAATGATAGCATTTTGCACAAGATGCAGTGGGGCTGCTCCTTGTGTAATGTAAAATTGTTTATTTCTGTCTTACAATGCAGCATCAATAAATGATGAGCAGAAGGCCTCAGTGCTATTGATTTTTAGGCATGGGGTTCTATTATGAGATGTTGTGATACATGAAAGGTATTGATGGTTGTGCATGTTTTTCTGTGTTTGTCTATTTCAGATTCCGTTGCTATCACAGCAAAACCTGACCGCAGGCGAGCAGCAACCGCTCACTCAGCTCCAGTATCTCCTGTACGGAGTACATTAACACCATACATTGCACGATCCAGCCCAGCAACACCACACATTTTAGGCTCCAGCACAGCAACGCACAAATACCATAACAAGAACAACAACAACAACTTGGATTTATATAGCGCCCTCCACGCCGGACGGCGTCTCAGAGCGCTTTGCAGTAACAGATCCCGGGACCGAGCCAGGGGGAGGGGGAGGAAGGTGACCATAGATCAGTGGTGGCGGAACTGGGGGGCAGGGGGCTAGCACCCACCCAATTAGAACATTGAGGGAGTGTAAGTATATTTACGCACCCCTCCCAACATAAGAAGCGTCCACCGTCGTTGATAATGAGGATGGACACATCAACGGTGCGGTCACCCAGGTCGATGATGAAGACATTCTTCTCTCTCCTGCCCTTCTTGTCCAGGCAGTGGGCGATGGCGGCTGCTATTGGCTTGTTGATGATGCGAAGGACGTCGAGGCCACCAATCATTCCGGAATCAATGCTGAAGATTTTATTGCCACAGTCTCAAAGCTGAGAACAGTGTCCCACCTCTCTTCCACCTCCCCTCACCCCAAATCTGCTGGGACTGACCAGCATGTCAAAGGAAACCGCTAACAAAAGGATCCCGCCTCTTGCAGGGCTTACGGGTGGATCAGAAAAAAAAAGAATTCCAAGTATGCTTCACTCTACTGAGAAAGTACAGGTTGATAGTGTGAGCCCACATTTTGGTGTGACTCATCTCAGAGATGAGGAAATAGAACACGCATATTGATAGCACTGTCACACTTAATAATAAATCACAGTATACTGCACACAAAATATTGTTGTCTTGTTGTGAATGGAATTGAACAATCCATTCATGTAATATTATGTATATAATGTATTATAACCGAAATGTCAGCTTGGCGCGATAGTAGTACGCTCACCTTTGGGTCAGAAGGTTGTAAGTTCAAGTCCTATGTGGGGCCTTGGAATCACATAGACTAGCTGACCCTCCAGTGCAGCACTGTTACAATGTGTTACAATGTGGGAGGTGCCGTCCTTTGGATGAAACATTAAACCAAGGTCCCATCTGCCTGTTAAGGTGGACGTACAACAAAATTACACTTATAGAGTGCCTTTCACGTCGGGAGAATCCTGAACGGAGGGAGCGGGCAGGTTGGTAGGGAGTCAGCAGGCCAGAGAGGTAGGAGGGGCCAAGGCCATGGATGGCCTTGAAAGTGAGGATGAGGATCTTGAATTCGATCCTCTGAGGGATGGGGAGCCAGTGGAGTCGGGCGAGGATGGGAGTGATGGGGTCACGGAGCCTGGTGCGCAAGAGTACATGAGCTGCAGAGTTTTGGATGATCTGCAGCTTGTGAAGGGAAAAGTTGGGAAGGCCGATGAGAAGGGAGTTTCTATAATTGAGCCTTGATGTGACGAATGCGTTAAAAATCTCATGGCACTATTCAAAAAGAGAAGGGAGTTTACCCCAGTGTCCTGGCCAACAGTCCCCCAATTAAAATTGGTCACTCACTCCTGGCTGCTGCATTTCAACCACAAATACAGTCACTACACTTTACAGTATATCCTGTGAAGCACTTGAGACATCTCAACAATGTGATAAGGCGGTATATCAAATGCAAGGATGATTACTATTATTATTATTATTATTAACTGCTTTTCTTTGCAAGTAAAATAAACAAATTACTACTTCCAGTTTTTATATCACTGCATTGTCACAGAGTAATAGTTCAAGATTAAGCAAGTGCAAGAACAGAGGCAGATGCAATTAAACATAGCAATGTGTGAGGTAGCAATTTAAAGAATGGCAAATCAATGTAATCAAGCAGCTTCATTTAAAGCTAGTTCATATTATGTGTGTCAGCCTGGCTTAGTTGGTACCATTCTTGCCTCTGAGTTAGAAGATTGTGGGCTCAAGATTTGATCATATAGTCTTGGCTGACACTCCATTGCAGTGTTGGGGGCTGATGCATTGTTGGAGGTGCCATTCCTCAGATGAGCCAAGGTCCCTTTTGTCTGCTCAGATGGACATTAAACCCATTCTTCAAAAACCTAATAGGGAGGTTACATTTGAAAAAGAGAAAGAAGTTTATCCGAGTGTCCCAGCCAATAATGCACCAAATAAAATTCATTAATCACTTCATGATTGTTTGCAGACACTACATTGCACATATTGGCTGTCATGTTTTGCCCATAAAAATTGAAGTCAACACACTGTATTGTATATCCTTTGACGTGCTTTGACACATCCTCCCAATATCAAAAGGATTACTTATTGGCAGATTTCAATTGTTGCCAAATAATAATAAGTGATTATGTTTTCTTCAGTGCTATAACGATTTCTTTCAATTGATTTAGTCTGATTAAATGTTTATCTTTAAAACATTTCTATTCTTTATAGCTCTCCGAGACACTAGTAAACATTCCATCAACAGTGACTGGAAGATTGAACATCCAGGAGCCTTTAACATAGCCGGAACAACAGTGTATTACGTTAGACGAGGATTTTGGGAAAAGATTTCTGCCAAAGGTCCAACCACATCTCCTCTTCATCTGCTGGTATGATGCTCCCTAATAACGTTAAGCATTTTTCTAATCAGTTTCAGGCATGTTCCATCTCAGAGACAATTCTACAAGTATCTTAAGAGAACACCAAAAAAATACTAGTCGTCATTGGCAAGACTATCGTATTTTGACTTAAAATTGAAGCACATGTAGAATTTTAGAAAATGTTTAATATGGAAGCCAGTTTACCAAAATTCTTAAAAAGGATCCGCTGACTTCTAAATTTGGACTGAAATGAAGAATTTTCAATAATTCTGCAGAATCTTACATTTTAAGGCAAAATGCTCTTAAATATTGACAAATATCCCAGATAAAACTGGTCATTCACTTCATGGCCGATTGTGAGATATTGCTTTGTGCAAATTTGCTGCTGCATTGGCCAATAAAAATACACTCATTAGATTTTAAGAGTAAAAATCTTATCAAGCTCTTTGAGATATTTTGACAATGTGATAAGGCATTATGCAAGGCTTATTATTATTTGTATATGCCTGCAATTACTTAAAATTACATCGGGCTGACTTATGAAAAGCGAAACACTTAAATATTTAATTGTTAAATCTGGCTCAGGAGGAATTCAAAGCTTGCTAATTATATGATATGAAACATAAGTTCTGTGTATGTTGTCAGACAATTTACAGCATTAGACTATTTTATTCTAATACTTTTAATAAAAATGCTGACTTGCTGGCTCTTAGCACAGGTGCATTTGAAGCGCTTTGAGACATCTCGAAGAATGCAAGGATTATTATTATTATTTGCTGGATTCTCTCCAGGTTCAGGCTTAGTGTAAATTATTGAACTGGACATGCAACGAATTTAGAGTCCTCTTAATTGTTGAATGAGCTTGCCTCTGACGTAATAGAACTCGAACACTATTATACATCTTGGATTTTCCTTGCGTTTTAAAGGAGAACCCTACTATAATTATAATGCAGTTGTCTAGATCCAATATCTGCATTATCAGGGGAGAGTAAAAAATGCCTGACTTCCTAGCTGTCAGGTCATTGCTGTTGTCACTTCCTGTGAGCTATGTACAAAAAGCCCCATAATTTCCTGCATGTCGCGCCTGTGCACTATGTGCAAGTATTGCCCTGATGTGTCGCGCATGCGCACTATGTGCAAGTATTGCCCTGATGTGTTTTCCATGAACTAAAAATGTTAACTTTCGGGAAATAAATGAATGTGACCAGGCTCACGCAAGGAAAAATCACATGTAGATGTCATACCAGAAAGCTTATGTTCCGTGGAGACCTTTGCCAGCATGAGACATAAACTTAGGGAGAGAACATTGAACAATACAGATGTCAAATGTGCTTGTTGTAATCTGTTTAACATTCACAGATGATAATGATATTATTTAATTTACATGTATTGTTGAATCAGCCCCATTGTTTTGACCATTGGATTCATAAATGGATATGTTTTATTGCATGGACATGACCATGCATGCCCCTCTCCTCTCCGCCGTGGCAGCCATGCCTTCAGCTAGTATGTCCAAAACTATGTCTCAATCCCTCCACCTCTTTGCACCTAAAGTCTTTCCTCTTTGACTGTGCCTATGGTCATCTCGCCAGCTCAGTGTTAACCGCTCCAAGATACTATACTACATGAAGGGCACTATATAAATTCAAGTTGTTTTTGTCGCATGTGATCTCTATCTATGGCACTTTCTTGACATGTGTGTTTCTTTATTTGCAGGTGCTGCTATTTAATGACCAGAATTACGGCATTCACTATGAATACACAATTCCAATTGAGCCAGTTCCTGGAAACCAAAGTGCAAAGGCCAGTGCGCCTCTTTTTATGTGGACTCACTCTGGTTGGGAGGATTGCGGTGCCATGTGTGGAGGAGGTTGGGAAATGTACTTTTTCAAATTTTGTTCAGGATGTGACACATGTAAGCGTATAATACAATACAAATGACATCTGTATAGCGCCTTTCACGTCGGGAGGACGTCCCGGCATTACTGTTTCAGAATACTGTAGTAGGCATCACTGTGTCAGAAACTCTGCATTAGTACTCCGCTGAGGTTGTTAAGAAAAATGTAGCAGGGGAAAATTTGTGATATTTCGCAGAAAAATTTCCTAATTAAGAAATCCTTTGAGAAATACCGCAAAAATCGACCCCATTATTTACTGTCTCAGATGGACATCTCCTTGAGCGTGTAACCATTTATTTTAAGCTTTATAAAAGCTGCACAGACAGAATATAATTAATAACTGAATAAATATATAATATACGGGATATAATTTATGATATATTAAATGAAGATCTGTTGTTTAATATGCAATCTGTTTTCTTTCATTGTAATTTTTCTAGTCATGAATTACAAGGCAGCATGCTTTATTTTAAATATATGTATTTATTAAACGTAAATGTCAAGTACCTATATTCTTTATAACAGCAATCTTTAACTGGTTAGTTTTTTTTTTTAGTCATTGCATTTAAGAGTAACTGGGGAATCAAATTGCCTCATGCAGCTTATCGTCTTCCCTCCAGTTCAGGTGGATTGATGGATGTGATAATGAACCTTGACTGTACGATTCTTAACGTTTGCCACAGTGAGGTAGAATTACAATATCAGCAATTCTGCCACTAGGATTGCCGAAATAACGTACAACTCCTTTAATTCTTTGCAAGATAGTCCACTGATAGCCAATAGCTCAGAAGTAACAGCTTTTGTACCAGCCAAGAAAAATAGATATTTGAATGAAATTGCAGTCTGTCACGAATAAACCTTTGAATTGTCAAATGAACAAATTGCAGGAAATGGAGGCCAGAATATGATGTACTAGATTATTTTCCTGCAACATTTCCTGGTCTGAAAAGAATTGCTTTCAAAGACGAAAACAGAATCTGAACAGATTCAAACTTTGATGTTAAATGGGGCTGATGAGGGGTGGTCTATAACTACATTCAGACTTTTTTTTACAAAATGTTTTCCAGACTGCAGGAACACATTTTCACCAAATTGAAAAAAATGTTACAATGCTATGAATTCAGAAATAATAGTTTTAGCTCCAAGATTTTTGTAGCTTTGTTTTTTATGCACAGTAACAATTTCAAGTAAGAGTAGATGATTAGTCCATCTCGCCTAACACCCAACATTCCCCAAAATTCTTTTGATGCATGTATCTTATCACCTAGTAATACTGAATTATTTTAATTTCCAAGAACCTGGGCTTGTTCCTCTTTGAAACTCTTTATAATTTCTTGCTCCATCACCTCTGCTGTTAGTTTTGCTTATCATACTGTCACTAAAAGTATCGTTCCTATATTTATGTACATTTTTTTGTCCTTACTTTGAATCTGATTCGTTTTTAGAAATTTACGGAAATCAACTCTGAAAGGTGAAATACAACCAGAGGATATCTGGTTGATGTTGAGAGATATTGAGGTTCTGTTAAAGAAGTGGGATTCCCCTTTCACTTGTGAGGTGCCCTGTTTATTCTGAGGTTAAATGGAAATGATAACATTCTCATTATTAGGGTAGTAGTTCAATGTACCCATTGGTTCCAGTGAAGAGTTGCGTAATGCAATGAAGTCTAATTTTCATCATTGCACACAAGTGCCAATATTCTGCAGTTTCTTGGATGGTGATCTGAATGTGGTTAGGCTACTAAGCATTTGAGGCGAGAAAAGCTTCATACCATTAACTTAGCAACATTGCTGATGGCGTGCTAACAGAATATTATCAAAGAGGCTGCGCTAACACATTAGGAATTTCTCACCCTTCCTGATCAATGTACAGCTGCAGTGATTGGCCATCAAATGGCAAGACTGCCTTCACTCAATACCTCCACACCCTACTACTGAGACCAGCTCAATACATTAACCTCAGTATCTAAAGCAATGCTAATCTTGCAGGATTAATTGAGGCATTAATTGAAGATGTAAAGAGATGTTTCCTTATGGCTCTTTGATCTAATTATGAATTACGAGGTTGAAAAATATGTGTGATGTAACAATTATCACTCAGTAATTAACATCCGTGATAATTATCACATTGCCATAAATTGCAATCTGAGTGTGTCTTTTTAATTATTAATTAGTTTAGAAGTGGAAAAAGCACAGTGGCCCAAGACACTATCCTGCATGAAAGGCATTATATAAGTTGTTGTTTGGCCCAAAGGCAGTTGAAACCCTTGGCAAATGTTATTGCTATTGTCAGTGGTGTTTCATCAGGCCCTGTATAATTGATTGAGTTATGCTAGTATCCTGAGAAAAGGACTGATATACCAAGGAAGGCAACGGCGATAATGCAGAATTAAAGACTTATTTGATTGCTGGTGATGCAATAATTATCACTAGCGAGAGATAATTTTGTCACCAAAATTGGTAGTTCAGTCAAGTCGGTGGATGAGGTCTCATTCACGGATCAGTTTGTGTACTTTAGTTAATGAGAAGGCAAAACTTTCAGCTATGTCATAACTAACGTTTCACAGGTCACAAACTTCACCCCAGTTGGCTTCACCACTGATCTATACAAATTGACAATAGTGTGTTTTCAGACCCACAATAAAAATGCCTGTATTTGTTACCTTCATTGGTAATAGTTCAACAATGACTGGAAATATTCAACGAGATATTAATAAGCTGACACAAATGATGGTTAATGCTTCAATACTGTGCTGAACCTGATATTCCTTCAGTAGCCCAATTTTTTTCATAGTTCAATAGACATAATGGCAAATGTTACACACTCTGGCAAAGGTGTTTTTTTAGGTGAGAAACTGAGAGTAATATATTGTCTAGGCACACGATGGTGTTTAGAAGCTGACATGACCTGCACTATTTTCATGCAATTGTCAGTTATGATCATTTCCACAGACAACTAAGATGGATTGACTCACTCATCAAAGTATGTCTGGAGAAACTGCAGAAGAGTGGCACTTGGATCATTGCTCTTCAGCAGTAAAATATTTTAGTAGATTGATCGGAGATGACTGCCTACCGTAGGTTCTCTGGAGTTGTGAGAGGGAGGTAAATTCACAAATGCCGTACAGTCATGTGTAAAAAAAAAATACATAAACGAAAATTCAACATTGATAGTGCCTTATCACATTTAAACGTTTCAAAGCACTTCATGAGTAATTACTGTCAGGTGTAGGCAAATGCAGGAGGCATTTTCTGCTGCAAGATCTTGCAAGTAATAATGAGGTGAATGGCCATTTGGGCTAAAATTTATTATTAAAATACAATGCAATAAGAATGGAGATGCATCCTTCACAGAGCACCAATACTGTCTGCTGTACCGTCATGGGTACATTGCATGAGATTGCTCGAATCCACAGCCACCCTCCCAATGGATGTGTTATGCAAAGCTTGTTGTGTGTCATTTGGAAAGTTAAATTCCTCTTCACGCACACAAATCATAGTCTACTTTTCTAATATACTGGGTCACCATGCCTCACTGGAGAGCAAGTTTGCGTAGAAATTTGCTTCTTCTTCGACGATGCCTGCAGTCACTCTGCCATTCCTTACCCTCCCTGCCCCCCACCCCTCCTGATTTCAACTCCCAGCTCGGGTCCAAATCCCTGCCTGTCCAGTGCCTTGGGACGTCCTCCTGAAGTGAATGTAATTTCTTGTTGCTCTTCATGGGCTGAGATCAATATTTAGCACATTGAATGTATCTAGATGGATATACCAACTACCCCCTTCTCTGTCGACATTCTTAATCTGTGAAGCTTGGTCAATGGTATTAGACCTATGGGTTGTAGATCACAGCAGAGGCATCAATGAGACATTAAACTGAAGTCCTGTCTGCCTGTTCTGTTAAAGATCCCAATAACACTATGCGAAAAGATAAGGGATCTGCTTGCAGGGTACTGGTTAGCAGGAATCCAGGCTTGTTTTGAACAAATATCTCTGATGCACACATTTGGGACCATTTGATGTGCTAAATATTAAATAGACCACAAGATGAACCCAGTTGTACCTTAACCCAAATCTCAGTAGAGAACAGTGTACTTAACAATGTGAATATTTCAATTTGACCCTCCAGTTTTCTTGTGACCTCTAAGACAAATTATCAGACTATGCCAATTTTGTACAGTAATCCTGCAGTCAGAAGAAAATGGGTTAAACCGTGTTAAAAACCTGTGCACAAATTGGCTGCCACATTCGCCTACAAACCTTATTCACTTACAAATAAAACAGTCACTACATTTTCCAATAAAATCCTGTGAAGCACTTTGAGCTATTCATCCAAAGTGAAATGCACTATATCAAAAGCAAAGATTATTATTTAACCTATAGTGATAGAGAAATAGGGGTGATTTGATCAGTTCTGAATCGAAACCCAGGTCTGAGAGTTACAAGGTATTAATTCACTGCACCCCCCACTTGCCATTGTCTTTTGCATGATTATTTATCACAAAATGAGAAAAAAGTACAAAATTATGCTTGATTGCAAAAAGAGTAGGGAGGTTCTCCCAGTGATCTGGCCAAAGTTCTTGATTCGGAACATAGGAACAAGTGTAGGCCATTTAGCCTCTCTAGCCTGTTCTGCCGTTCTATTCGGCCATGGCTGATTGTACTTCAACTACAATTACCTGCCTTTGCCCCATATTCTGTGATACCCTTACCTACTAAAAATCTATCCACCTCAGTCATGAAAATTTCAATGGATTCAGCAATATTAATTGGTCTTGGTTGCTTGTGGGATTTTGCTGTGTGCCAAATGGCTGTCATATTTACTTTTGAAACCAGTCGCTATACTTGACATTAATTACCATGAAGCACTTTGAAACATTTCAACATTGTACACATTATGAAAATGTAAGTTCTTCACTTATGCTACCTGTGTTATCTGTGAAACTGACAAGGAATTTTTCTGACATCATGACTTTTTGAGTGGAGTCAAAAGTACCAGGCGACTGCATTGTACTACGTAACGTGTTGTGATGGGCTTCCTTGTAGATTTAAATTGACTGCATTTAGCTCAAGTTAGCTTGCTGGAAAATAGGGAGGTTGCACAATATTTTACAAGACTTATAATTCCATAATGTAATGGAGAAGGATGAGAAAGATACTAAGTGCTTTGTTAGCACTTCACCTTCTAGGGCTGAGAGCGCCAGGTTTAGTGTTGAGTTTAGCCTTGTTGCAAGGGCAAGGCTGCATGTGAAAAGTAGACAAGGCGGCTCGGTTGTACAAGTGGACTTTACCACTGCATTGTAGATTGGGCTCCACTGTTGCTTGTGGCGGCAATGCCCACCTACTAAGTACGTGCCAAGTAAGTGGTGGCATGAGTGTACTTGAATGGTGTGACTGTCATTGAGCACATGATGAGCCTGTTTTCATTCCAGGAGCTACAAGGCAACCTTTCGGCCATGTATGCTTTGTACAGTTCTACAACAACAACAACAACAATATTCCATTTATAGAGCGCCTTTCACGTCGGGAGGATGTCCCAAGGTGCTGTAGAGTTGGATCAGGACCCGAGCAGGGGGGAAATGGTCAGGGTGAGGGGAGGGAAGGGAGGGGGCGAGGAGGGAGTAGAGAGTTGAGAGGGGAGCTGAAGGCACGGTCAAAGAGAAAGGTCTCGAGACCGGCCTTGAAGTAGGAAAGGGAGGAAGCAAGGCGAAGGCACTGCGGGATAGAGTTCCTGGACGAGAGACAACTTTCTTCAGCTCAACGTGCGTAAAACTGAGGCCCTCCTGATTGGCTCACGTCAGCGCCTCCGCACCTCTGGCGCTGACAGCATCAGCATCCAAGGCTGCACTCTCAACCTCTCAAAGCAGTCAGGAACCTCGGGGTTCTGTTCGACCCTGAGCTGTCCTTTCTTCCTCATATCCGCACCACAACTGGCACCACCTTCCATCACCTCCGGAACATCGCCAGACTACGGCACTACCTCACCCCTCACGCTGCTGAAACTCTGGTCCACGCCTTTATCACCTCAAGGCTGGACTATGGGAACTCTCTCCTCGCCGGCCTTCCCGCCACCTCCCTCCACAAGCTGCAGGTCATTCAGAACTCTGCAGCTCGTGTACTGTCCCGCACCAGGACCACATCACTCCCACCCTCGCTCGCCTCCACTGGCTCCCCATCCCCCAGAGGATTGAATTCAAGATCCTCATCCTCACCTACAAGGCCATTCACGGCCTTGCTCCCTCCTACCTCTCTGACCTACTATCCCGCTACTTACCTGCCCGTACCCTCCGTTCCTCTGGCTCCGGTCTGCTCCACATCCCCCGCCCCCATCGCCCTACTATCGGTGGCTGGGCTCTCAGCCCCTAGGCTCTGGAACTTTATCCCCCAGTGCCTTCGCCGCCTCCTCCCTTTCCTCCTTCAAGGCCGGTCTCAAGACTTTTCTCTTCAACTGTGCCTTCAGCTCCCCTCTCGACTCTCTATCCCCTCCTCGCTCCCTCCCTTCCCTCCCCTCACCCTGACCATTTCCCCCCTGCTCGGGTCCCGACCCAACTGTCCAGCGTCTTGGGACGTCCTCCCGACATGAAAGGTGCTCTATAAATGGAATCTTGTTGTTGTTGTTGTTCCAGAGCTGAAGGCCCGGCCACCGATGGAAAAAAAAATTAATTGAAGAACAGACTCTTGTGACTTTTTCTTGGTTGGTGTGCCGATTGAGGGATTTTTAGTTTTGATTTGTATGCCAAATCAGTGGCATTAGCTGTGGTCTCACAACAAAATTAACTTGATGCAAAAATACTTGCAGCCTTGTGTTGTGGCATTCATAGAAATACAGAAATATACAGAACGTGAGAAGACCTTTGAGTCCGTCTGTCTGGTACTAAAGTTATAATACACACATACACACAGTACTGTATCTCTCCTAGCCCTCAATTGAATTATTCACTAAATACCTAACAAATTGTCCCTGGAATTTGCTGATCCAATCTGTCTTCACATCTCCCCGAGTACTCTATTCCATAAATTCACCACTCTATGTAGCATAATTAAATTGTCTGTTCACGGTCCCTCTTCTATGCTTGAGTCCATCTCTTTGTTCTAAACATCAACAACAACAACAACAACAAGATTCCATTTATAAAGCGCCTTTCATGTCAGGAGGACGTCCCAAGGCGCTGCACAGTTGGGTCATGACCCGAGCATGGGGGAAATGGTCAGGGTGAGGGGAGGGGAGGGAGCGAAGAGGGGGGAAATGGTCAGGGTGAGGGGAGGGATGGGAGGGAGCGAGAAGGGGGAAGAGAGTCGAGAGGGGAGATGAAGGCTCGGTCAAAGAGAACATCGACATTGTTAAGTATATTGTTAGGGTTCACTTAGTCTATGCCCTTTAGCCTGATGAATAGTTCAATAAGATCTTCCTTGAGTCTTCTCTCCCACAGTGTAGACATTCCCATCTCCAAGTTCAAGTTCAGTGTTGAAGTATTCCTTGCCAAAGTTTTCATTTTACAGGAACCGAGCTACATAGCAATAGGTAAGAGAAAGAGAAACAGTGCCTTTACTAGTATTGGTGCTATTTGTCCCAGCAGTACCCAGATTAATATGTTTGAAACATTGTGATTCTGCTGGCTCTGCTTTTTCATTTTAGTAGGTAATATTTATATGAATGCATCGCATATAAATGGCTGAAGAACTAAATGAAAATAAAACCGTGACTAACAGCAAGCAATGCCAAACAGATCTATAAAAAAAACTGACATTTTCTTAACATTAAAATCCTGCTAAACTGTGATTCAAATTAATAAAACATTTGCTCAGAGGCATTGGCTCTTTGGAAGTTGTTTACAGATTAGCTTTATCATATTTTAGTGAAATTATAGATGATTAATCTGACCCTTTGGTAAATTTAAAGAGAATTTCTTTGGTATTAAGCAACCTTGTGCTGTAGATAGCTAAAGCATTTGTTTCCATAGAAACAATACCTCAGTACAAGGTCTGTTCCTGGAGAAAAAAGAGTAATGCATGTTGATTGATGGTAGATTGGCTATGTAATTACTACTTCAGTCCAAAACGTTCGTGTTTTTTTAACAGTCATCAAATTCTGTCTAGACTTAAATAACAGCAGATTATTTTCAAATCATCTTCTCCTGGGAACAATAGCTTTTGAAGCTATTGCATTGCTGTGCATGCATCTTTTATTTTTTTCTCGGGATTGTATGTGAGTTTTCCCTGAAATATTCCAGGGACTTTTGCCATTGCTGTCGTATTCTCAGAATAGAACTGGCAATTCCCCGCAGGAATATTCAGGTACAAACTCTCTTGAAGTGTGGATATTCCACAGTGTTTTGTAGATTGTCTAAATCAATTAGGAAATGTGTTTTGCTAGCTATCCTGTGTAGAGCCTTCAGCCCATTGGAGTTATTTACAGTGTGGAGACCTAAGTGGATAATTTCATGAATCATTGTGTTTGAGAAGCTCAATTAAATACAGAGGTAGACAGAGAGAGAGAATGTAGTAGCTCAAACTGCCACAACAAGTTCAATGAGTTTGATAATAATAATCCTTGCATTTGTTATAGCGCCTTATCACGTCTTTGAGATGTCTCAAAGCGCCTCACAGAATATACTGTAAAGTCAATTGACTGGATAAATTGTGGGCGAAATGTGGCAGCCAATTGCGCACAGGGGTGTCCCTCAAACAATGTTGTATTGAGTGACCAAATTATTTTTGTTAGTATTTTCTCAGGTCATCAGAATAGCCTGCTCCTGTTCCTGTGGTCTTAAATGACTTGTACACAGTTTATTCTCAGGCTAGTAACTGATACCCCAGATATTGATCATGCCTAATATTAATGAATGCCATTCCTCTTACACTTAATTGTTGTAAATCATGCAAGCACTGTAATGGCTCCTAATCCATTCATTAAGAGAAGAAGAACTATATGACCCATATGACCCATGATATCAGCATCTAGACTCAAACTGCGCCATTGCTTTTACAAATATTTTCCAATAATTGTACTAATATAGCAAATGGATGACTTGTAGCAAAAGTGATCTAACTGATTTTAACCGTTGCCTCAAATAGATGGTTTCACGGTGGGGGAGGGGGGAGGGGAGAATTGAAAATTGTATGCAGACTTTTACTGCTGTTTTATTTTTCCTGATTAAAAAAAGACCTAATTTTTCTGTTAGGATGTGAGCCTAATGTAAAATCACACTACTCGGAGTTTATAAGTGTGTTTGGATACAGATTCTTAATAATTCTCCCCTTCTTGCTAAATGTGTGAAACAGACATTGTTGTATGTAAAGAAACATATTTGATCTTTCTATTCTCGCTTTCCAGGAGAAAGAAAAACCATGGTGACATGCACGAAAATCATGAACAAAACTACAACTGTTGTGGAGAACAGGAAATGCAAACAGCTGAGTAAACCAGAGCCACTGATCCGAAAGTGCAATCATCAACCATGCCAGACCAGGTAACAAATGGATCCTGTGTTGAGCTACTTGGACTGACAACATGTGTGGGCTGAAATTCCAGCCAGAGTTATAAAAATTGCATCTGTCGATGTCAGCTGCTAATGGGATTGCTCCATTATGATCACTCTTCGCCAAACACACTACAATGTAACAACTGGAATTTTAGTCCAACGGTGCTTTACACCTTGTATTAAAGTCAAATCCATTTGAAGTTTGTTAAATGGCCACTGGCTCTAGGAAGTGAGTTTGTTTGCCACTTGTTGGAAATGTGCAATATAATGATACAAAATCTATCATCACACAGAGGAGAATTATATATTTTTTAGTCAGCTGGGTGACTAACAAATTTGGAACCCCATCACTGTGCTTAAGAGTATACAAACCAAACTGAGAGTTCAACATATGCACGTCACCTACACAAGGACATGTGCACGCCACCTACACAAGGTCATTTCTTTGTTCCTGGAATGGAATGAGCACTCTCTCCAAGGGGGACGCACCCTACTTAACTAATTCCAATACAATACAAAATTACATTTGTATAGCACCTTTCAGGTTGGGAGGACATCCAAGGCACAATTCCAGAGAGTATTAGGCACAGGTTAGCAAGGCCTTTGAGTTGGCCCAATAGTTTGTGTTTGGGTACCCCTGAAGCTTAATCAGCTAAAACCGCTCAGCTTGCCATTGAGAGCTTTTGCATTTTGGCTAAAGTATGGATGAGGAAACAACCTTGAAATCACTCTGTGGTCTCAGATACTATTGTTAATAATATCAGATCGCTGGGCTCATTGTCTAGGCTGACACTCAGTACTGGAGGAGTGCTGCATTGTCAAAAGTGCCTATTTTCAGTTACATAGAATTACATAGAAAGTTTCAGGCCATTTGGCCTAACTAGTCCATGCCAGTATTTATACTCCACAGAAGCCTCCACCTTTCTGAATCCCCTTCCTTTTAACCCTCTATTTCCTTTCCACTCATATATGCCCTTGTTGGACATTAAAGATCTCATGACACTCTTCCAAGAGAAAAGGGAGTTTCTCCTAGTGTCCTAGCCAATAATCCTTCAGATTAATAGCTCAGTCCAGGGTCTTCTGGCATTCCACGCTGATAACAGAACATCCCAAATGATATCAGGACATCTCCCTGTTTGAAATAGGTGGTTGATGACTGAATGGACCCCGTGTTCGCGGACCTGCGGGAAAGGAAGCCAAAGCAGACAAGTGGCCTGCACCCAGCAGCTGAGGAATGGAACCCTGATCAGAGCTAGAGAAAGAGACTGTCCGGGATCAAAACCTGCCACAGTACAGCGGTGCGAGGGTCAGGACTGTCTGACGGTATGGGAGGTTGGCATATGGTCAGAGGTACAAACATTTCTCAGTTTCCTTCTCTCTTTAGCATTTACAACCAAATCAATCCTCTTAAAGTAACTCTACCTGTTGTTCTGATGCATTGTCAGACGTGCTGTCCTTCAGATGATATGTTTAACCAAAATCCTGCCTACTTGTTTAGGTGGTTGTTAAAGATTCCATGGTACTACTAGAAATCAGAAGGGATTTTCTCCCGGTGTTCTGGCCGACAATCTCCAAATTGAAATTGTCACTCACTTTGTGGCTGTTTGCAGGACATTCCTATGTGCAAATTGACTGTTGTGTTTGCCTACAAATACACAATGACTATACTTCACAGTAAAAAGCAGAAACACTTTGAAAAGTTACGATGATGTGATTAGGTGCTATATCAAATGCAAGGATTATATAGACACATAGATCTCAACACTACCATTTCTGTTTTGTTTCCAACCCCGGATTGAGGAGTTATGATATCACTTTGCATGATACCAGTCAAACTGCGATTGATCGCATCTAATATATGTATTTTCCATCATCACATGAGGCCTGCAATCTATTCTTGGCTTGAAGGATCTCAAACAGCTTCACTTGCACAAAGATAATGATGATGCCACACATCATTCAGGAAGCTCATGAAAGGAATTTATTTCCATCCAGGGACTCCAAGGAGATGTAACATTTCATAAAAGGGTGAGCTTATCCTATGAAAGTACAGTTCAATGTTGAGCAAATCTTCCAGCACGAGGTATCATTCCGTGTGACCTAACATCAGCAACCAGGACAATCACAAGATATTTGTCAGTCGTGGGAGTCTGCCTTTAATCTTCATTCCATTCAAAGCCGCTTTTAGTTAAATAGCTAGCTCATCACTCACTCTAAACTCTGCAAAGGCCATATTCCAGCAGATTCTGAACATTCCAAGAAAGCTGGGGATCCTTACCGTCCAAGAGAAATCTAGTTAGAGCCAGTGCTTGAACAGTGCAAGCTGTGCTGAGCTACTCAGTTCCAAATAACCTGGGGCTCTCTTCTGACTACAAAATTGCTCTATGGTTCTGTGTCTCAAACACTAGTACCATTAATGGCCCTGCTTTCGAGATGTGTGAGCTCCACCACAAGCCATCTAGACATGCTTGATTGAGCCTGTTGTTCTTCAGGGGCAGGATTCATGAGCGCTTATACTGCTTTTATGTTACCAGTTTTCCTTGCTTCGATTATCCCAAGACCCCACTCAATGAGTTGGATCTCTTGTTGCCTTCTGGAGGGTGAAGAGTAGGCAGAGGAGATCCAAACCAGACTTTCACTAACATTTTCACACATAGGGTGAAATTTGAAACTGTGAAACCCCAAAAAGCTGTGGATGCTGGATCCATTCAAATTTTCAAGACTGAAGTGGATAGATTTTTGTTAGGTAAGGGTATCAAGGGATAATAATAATAATCCTTGCATTTGATATTGCGCCTTATCACGTCTTAGAGAAGTCTCAAAGCACTTCACAGAATATACTGTAAAGTGAATTGACTGTATATTTTGTGGGTGAAACGTGACAGCCAATTGCGCACAGCAGTGTCCCACAGTCGTGGATTTAGTGACCAATTTATAATTTTTTTTAATTTTTGAAGGAATTATTACCCCCAGAGAAGCGATCTGCCAATTGACTAACAACTGGGTTCCTACTTAATACTAGGTAAAGAGAGGTGTATGGAGTAAGGAAACTTGTCCATTGTTTCACCCTGCCAGGAATCGAACCCAGGTCTCTAGCTTGTGAGGCGAGTGCTGTATGGGGCAGTAGTGGGTAATTGGATTTGAGGAACAGATCAGCCATGATCTAATAGAATGGAGGAACAGACTCTAGGGGCTGAGTGGACTACTTCTATTCCTATGTTCTGATATTCATAAGAGCTTATTTAGTCACAGCGGTGGATCACTCCTGGTGCTCCCTTCTCCACTGCCTCTATAGTTTAGTCAGCCTCAGGTCATGATGATCAGACTGAGCTGTTTGCTTCATATCACACTTTCAAAAAGGCTTCTGGCTCTGAAAAGGATAAAAAAATTTAATCTGTTTAAATCATCAATATTTTCAAATTTTGAGCTCACACTCTAGGCAGATGCATCAGTGCAGTGCTGAGGGAGCAATGCAATATCTGTGATGCCGTCCTTTAGATGAAACTTTAAACCGAGGTCTCGTCTCAATGTTCAGGTGGAAGTTCAAGAGAAGGAAGATTTTTCCAGTGTCCTGGTCACCAATTCTTCAGATAAAATTGATCATCCACTTTCCAGCTGTTTGTGGGACATTGGTGTGGACAAATTGGTTGCCATGTTAGCCTACAAATCATCATCATTACATTTTGTATTTGCAGGAGACATTAGACCAAGATATCTTATCATCTGCCTGTTAAGATAAACTTTAAAGATCCCATGACAATTAAAAAGAAAAGGGAGTTTCTCCTCATGTCCTGACCAACCATCCCTCTGAAAAATAATGCTCATTCACTTCATTCCTATCCTTCAGAGGATCCAGTTCAAGATCCTGTTCCTCACATACAAAGTCCTCCATGGCCTCGCCCCACCCTACCTCTGTGACCTCCTAAACCCCTACCAACCCGCCCGTTCCCTCCACTCAGCCGGCTCTGGCCTGCTCCACGTCCCCCGACCCACCTGTCCCACCATTGGCGGGAAAGCCTTCAGCCAGTCTGCCCCCAACCTCTGGAATTCCATCCCCCAGTCACTCCGCCTTACTCCCTCCTTAGCCGCCTTCAAATCCCGCCTCAAGACCCTCCTCTTCGACCTTGCCATCGGCCACCCCCCTTCCCCTCCCCTCCCTTACCCCCACCCCCCCCAACCCCAGCTCAAGCCTGAAATGCTGTACACTGTCCAGCGCCTTGGGACGTCCTCCCAACGTGAAAGGCGCTATACAAATATAATCTTGTTGTTGTTGTTCATGGATGTTTGCGGGACATTGCTGTGCACAATTTGGCTGCCACGTTCACCTACCAAAATACAGTCGCTACACTTTACAGTAAATCCTGTGAAGTGCTTTGAGACATTTTGATGCTGTGATAAGGCATCGTATCAAATGCAAGGATTATTATCATCAACCTTTTTGATTTGTGTGGATTAACATCACAAAAAGGATATCAATAAACATGTCAAAATTCAAAGAATTAACAAGAGTTAATATGTATTATGAGACCCTTTAAGCAGGTTATAGGTTCATTTTATGAAAAAAATACTTTTCACCAAACAAAAGAATGATTAACTAATGTGCAGATCTTGAATCATTATATTTGGGAAAATCAGACTGATATTATGCTGCTGGAAGCTCTGGAAGCAACACACTTAACCCATTCAGGGAGCTCAAATTCAATTTCTCATCCCAATTGTAACACCAAATGAATCTCATTCAATGGGCAAGCTTCACATGCTCTTGGTGTGTCAGTAATAGAAGTCCTTCAACAAAGGGCACTTCCCATACCCAAGAAAAGTTACTTCCACACTAGTCTTTGTGAGTCCATCAACACTCTTCCGCCCCCGCCCACCCCCCCCCCCCCCCCCCGACCTCGTTCAGCTCCTCAACCTCACTTTCAAAGACCTCCACAGCCTCGACCCACCTTATCTCTCTGAACTCTTGCGACTTTACTACTGTCCTCACTGTTCTTCAAGCTACTTCTTATCTCTCACCTAATCTGTGTGAGCCTTCAGACACTCTGCATTTGCCCTATGGAACTCCCCAGATTCTCTCCAGCTCGTGCGCCACCTTCAAAACCCACTTTAATTTTTTTGTTTTTGACTGGGCTTGCAGACACTTTCAGACTTTCTCCCCATCGACCTACCAGTCAGCTATGTGAAGTGCTTTGAGATGCCCTCCCCACCTGAAGGGTGCTAAATACATGTTAATAATTGGGAACCAAATCTGCAGCTAAGCCTGCCAGATGATGTAGGAACCATAGTGGCAGGTGGCAGCATTAAGAGTCAAGAATGAAATGAGAATAAATATGTTAAAAATATGCAGCTACTAATGCAAGCTAATAGCTTTAGCAGTATTACATGAAGTCTCTTTCGGATTTGCCAGAAATGTTAAATCACTACATTATGAGCTGAAAGTAAAGTTCTAGTGAACAATCTTGACATTTATAACAGATGTTGAGTAAGAAAGACACACCTTCTTCTCCCACATTTGGCAACCTCCATCCTCAGTTTGGTATTAACTCACTGAAAGGATCTGGGCACGAAAATATTTCAAAGGACCCTGTCCCTTTAAGAAGCTTATGAGCTTCAATTGCGTTTCGTAATCCTCAGAATATTGTTACTGTCGCTTGCAATTCCTTGCCTTTGATATAGCACCTTATTACGTCATCGACACATTTTAAAACAATTGACAGGATATACTATAAGGCGGAATGACTATGTATTTTGTGGGCAAAACAAGTATTGGACCTGTGGACTCCCCAGATATTGGGTCGGAATGCTTTTGTTGCCAAGTTGCATTTAGTATTCTTCTGTTTAAGCAAAGCAAAGAATTCCATTTTTCTTTATTTGTATCACAAGTTGACAGTTACCGGTGAAGAAGGCCCTTTGGTCCATTTGACTTCATCCTTCTGTAACACCCACCCTGACGTAACAGCTTGATGCTGCCTTCCCATTGCAGCATCAAGTTGTTTATTAAGTGAATGAATCGAGCATCCTGGACTCATCCCACCACTTGCCTGTCTACCTGCATTTCATTGCCATGTGGTAGGAACCAGACCTATGAGGAGAGCGCCAGGCATGTCAATGTTGAGTCTGCTACTTGAGGCATGTGGGAAGAACTAAGGAAGTGGTGTCATGTTGGACAAAAATCATGCAAAATGCACAAATAGATGTGTATCCCCTTGTGTCCCATGTGGATCATAACATCGGAAGGCCCGAACTGTGACACAGTTGTCTACCAGCCAATAATTAAATGTTCCAGGCAAATTTGTCTGCATCTTTCTTCATTCCTTTCATATAAATAAACTGTGAAGTGTCAGTCACTTTCTACAATGTATCTCCTATAATATTCCAGTGTGGTGCACGATGTGAATTATCTGAATTAGTTAAAATGTTCGAACCTTGGTATACAGATCGACTAGTTCATAGATGAGATGATGGGTATACATGGTGTTAGACAGTCCGCTAATGTTTTTCCATTATTTGCCAGCACAGATCAGCCTGGACTGTCTGGAGAAAGTGCAAACCCAGCATGTGCAGCACACACAGAAGTGACACCACACATTACAGTTACTACTATTGGTTGGACTAGACTGATTTTATTTAATATTGTGCTCCGAGTTTTAAACAAGCTGTAGCACCATAAGGGATGCCATGATCCAGATGCTGTAAGTATGTTACTGAACGGAAGCTGCAGCTATTTGGCTCCAACATTCTGGCATCAGCTTGGGCTTTGTTTTCAGCAGCAGCTGGAAAGCATCCTATTGATTTGAATGGCACGAGCGTGATCTCTAATAATGCGCAGGTGGATATCCCTGTCTGTGACTGTGACTCGCAGAATGTTGGACACCCCGGCTGGCTGATATTAGGAGGACACCTCTTCCTCCCCATCCCAACACCAGATTGCATTTATAAGGCAATTCTTGAAATGCTTTACAGAGATAATGCCAAATGCCGAGCAGGGAGAAGAGAGCTCACAATCTGTACAGATGAAGAGTTAGGTTCTCAGGAAGCTTTTAAAGATAGATAGAAAGGGGACTAGGTGGGGGTATTCCAGAGGGTAAGGGCAAAGTGGCTGAATGTTCAGTCATTGATGGTGGGCAGAGGAGCACAAGGAATTCCGAGCAGAGGGGGTGAGAAGGTTACGGAGATGGGGAGATAAGAACATGGAAGGTGAGAGTGAGGATGGGTGAGAGTGAGGATATGAACCTGGTGAAGTTGGGGGTGATGAACGTGCAAAGCTTTGTATGGATGAGGATGCAAGCAACAATAGTTTGGATGAGCTGGAGCTTGAGGGCTTTGGAGAAGTCAAGTCTGATGGTTTCAAAGATGTGGATAAAAATGTTGGCTCCATTGGGCATGAGATAGTGTTGGAATTGGGCAGTGAAGAAAATCGGTCTTGGTTATTGTAGAGAACAACAAGGAAGGTGCAAGCAACTGAAGGTTTGCTTCACTGAACCAGTAATTTACTCAGTGATGTGCCTCCTTATTTCTTTCCACTGTAGTCTGGGGATTCTTGATATGATCACTCCTTAAAACCTTCATCTCCAGAATTCATGGTACAGTATTGTGTATTTCCATGTACGTACTATCCTTTGTTTTCCATGGCATATCAACTCTATATTCAGGGAGTGGAACCCCTTCCTATTGAGCCATGGTCATGTTGTTCATTGTTGTAGGTTTCAGCGCTGCATCTTTGGAAAGCACCCAATGACATTGAACTGCTGTTGTTTTTTCATATGGCTGTCTGTGAAAGTAGATGACACTCCCCATCAGCTTTGACATGAATTATTGATAGTTATCCACTGGACTCCCAGTAGGAGCCTTGCAAGGGCTTTCAGGATTGCAATGATCTCTATAGCTGCAGAGAATGTTCTGGCTCACTGAAGATTTCCTCAAATCCTCTTGTCTGTGTGTATGTGGTGCGGTGTTGACAAAATCTCACGGGAGAGCTTCAGTCTCCAGTGCTACTTCTTCCAAGAGGACAGTTTGGACTTGGAGCCCGTCTCCCATAGACAGTGATGTGCAGAGAATATTCTGCTCATTGCTCCTCACATCCCTTTCTTCCTCCCCTTCTTGGTTACAATAATTGGAGCATTTAACATTTCCTATTGAATACTTCTCAACATGCTCCAGCCAAAGGTGCAGCACTTACCATCTGACCAAACCAGGATTAAATACCCCCAATTTTTAGTATGACTAAGAGGCAGAGTAGATCTTTTGACTTCATTGAATTGCAGAATAAATTAAGTATCTTAATTGCTGTTTACAACCTTGCTTTCAGTGACTGTTGTCAGCTGTTTCTGACACTGACAAGAAACCAGCAACTTTCATTTGAAATGAACGAAATGTTGACACAGCTGAAACACAGATTATATTTTCCAAATGAAACCTTCAATGATCTTGGTGTCTAATGTGTGGCATTCCTCAAAGGGATTCCTTAATGATGAATCCTGCTAGTGTTCCCTTTGACCCATTGGAACTCCACTCCAGAGATAGATCACACCAGAGCGAAGTTCTTACGGGTCATGTACGCGTGATGTACTTCCTGATACTAGGAGTCCTTTATTTGATATTGATCCTTGATTTGATTTTTTTTCTAATCACATCGTCAAAACATCTCAAAATGCTCAGCAGGCATTTTACTTGCAGTAAATAAATAACCCTTGCATTTGATACAGCCCCTTATCATGCCTTCGAGACTTCTCAAAGTGCTACACAGAATATACTGCAAAGTGAGTTGACTGTATTTTGTGGGTGAAACAAGGCAGACAATTGTGCAAGGTAGTATTCCACAAACAGTCGTGGATTGAGTGGCCAAATTATTATTTTTCTTTTATTTGGAAGGGATTATTACCCCTGATAAAGCGATCTGCCAATTCACTAACAACTGGGTTCCTACTTACTGCTAGATAAACAAAGACATGTGGAGTAACAAAACTTGCCCAACATTTTGCCCTGCCCAAGAATCGAACCCCAGTCCTCTCGCTTGTGAGGCGAGTGCTCTAACCACTGAGCTACAGGACTTCATAAAAGTATAGTAGTGGTATCTCTATTTACTCAATAGTAATAAATCTAATAGGGACTTTAGAGGCAGTTCTTCACACAGTGGGTAGTGAGAATGTGGAACTCACTGCAGAAGCCATGATTGAAGCAAATAGCATCACTGTATTTAAGAGAAAATCTGACACATACATGAGGGAGAAGTGACTAGAGGAATGTAGATGAGCGGAATTAGAAGATTGGAGGCTTGTGTGGAGTATCCCAACAAAGGCATAACCTAGTTGATTGAAGGCCTGTTTCTGCATCATATCACTCTATGTAACTCTATGTGTATTTGTGAGACTCGTATTCCTTATAGAATCAATTTAAGAAATGCCGTAAATTAGATGCAAGTATGTTTGCGTTAATGGGGAGGAAATTGTGGTATTCTTAAATATATTCTGTTCTTAAAATAACTTTATTACTTTATTAAAGAAAATCTGTTGATAGGCTGAAATTTGCAATTCAGACCTATCTTTAAATGTCAACAGGTTTGGAGTGAATCCATATTTACCCATTCTCCCTCTGCTACATAATGATTTGGTCGAAAGTCTCTTTTGGAACATTGATCTTTGCTGCAGGTCTGTCTTTCTTTTCCATGGGGGCACATTGAACAGGCTTGATGGGCTGAATAGCCTCTTCCTGTTTCTGTATGTTCCTATGACAGCAATGACTCCAGTACAGAGACTGAGTTTGATGTTGCCCACAAATGACAAAATAGGTGGAGGGGTGGGATTGTGGTCGTTAAACAAGTCTGAAGTCTCCAAGTACTGATGGAAATCTATGTATACAGTGTATGAATTACCACCCATCCTTGATATAGAGGATTTATTCCACAAATCACTCTCAGCAGTCCACAAATGTTCAGACTCAAGTCAGTGCCAATCTTACACTTATTTATATGGTACTTCTGTCACTTTCAAACTGATACAATTTCCTACATAATTTAATATGCAGAAAACCGGTGGAAATGAGAGGCAATTGGCTTCAATTGGATAGATGGCCATTGTGTCTCAACAAACCCCATGCAAAACAGCCCACAGGAATCCTTACCCACTTCAATTAATTTGTCTCCCCAAATTTCATGACCAATCTAAATTCAAGTTTGCTATGTGGTGCATGGAATTTCAATCTCTTGAAGAATAAAGGAGACTTGAAATAGAAACAAAATTTGATGATATTTTGCAAATGGGGAGATATATATTTATTATGTTTTTCAGACCAAGTTGGGATATTGCTTTGCAAGCGAGATACCTGAGTTCAATTCCAGGCAGGGCGAAACCTTGGGCAAGTTTCCTTACTCCATACGCCTAATAATAATCCCTCCAAAACCAAAAACAATAATAAATTGGACATTTTCAATCTACGACTGTTTGTGGGACATTGCTGTGCGCAATTGGCTGCCGCGTTCGCCCACAAATGTACAGTCAATTCACTTTACAGTGTGTTCTGTGAAGCGCTTTGGGACGTCCTCCCGACGTGAAAAGCGCTATATCAAATGCAAGGATTATTATTATTATATGGTTACTGTAAGTTCTTCCCTGGACTTTCTATGCCCTTTTCAATGTGGTTTGCTGGAAGACAAATGTTTAGATGACATTGATGAATTTCTAGTGCTTGGTGCCAGAACCAGAAATTTATCATCAATCTAAATGCTCTGTCAGTGATGTGGCTGTTTCTATTGTAAGAAACATTTAATGCACGTATTCCCCCCATTCATTATTGAACCAGAAAATGAATGTTTAACTCTAAGCAGGTACAGTACTTGGAACTGCAATTCCGGCTGTGACTAAAGAACATAAAGCAATGATTTCTGATGCAATAAAACGGCAAGTCAGATTTTATGAGAAAAGATAAAAATGAGACAAGTTACCCGCTGCTAGAACCAAATTCAGTTTCATCCAGAGGAGTTAGCCTTCGTGATTTAATAACAGCTCACTTCAGGAATGTAGACACCGTAATTCACCTGTGGAAATAAACGAACACAGATTTTAACAGAAACAGCTGTCATGAAAACTGAACATTTGTTCAGTGATTTATCACTTTCTTCTGATCACTGTGTCGTTTCTCCTCAGACGTTTTGTTTCTTTCAGAGATTTTGTAGGAACAGATGAGTTGCCAGCTTTGTGTTGACATCTGTTGTCATTGTTGGACAGAGCATGATGTTGTTGTAAATGATGTCCTTATGTTGGTATGTGTTGCAGTGCTCAGTGAAATGTGGCAAAGGGGCTCGCCATCGGACCATAAAGTGCACGAACCCGCGCAAGAAATGCGATTTATCCACACGTCCAAAGGAGGCGGAAGACTGTGAGGATTATTCTAAATGCTACATCTGGAGAACAGGAGATTGGTCCAAGGTAGTACATGTTCACTAAATCAGTCTTTTCTTATTTACTTTTGTCTGTCTGAATCCTGACTTCACGCAAAGCCTTTCATCTACATCAAATGGCACAAAGTATGAGAATGTTTTAGCACTTAATTTGTCTGCTGCAAACCAATAGATCACAGAGAGACTTGTCTGTATCTCTGCTGAGGGATAAATGCAACAATCACACGACACATACACTTTCCAAACATTAAAATAACACGCACTGTGCTCAGTTTTCTGTCACTGATTATTGTACATACATAATAAATGGTAACAAAAATTTGGGAAGTGCAGCATGTCCTTCCAGTACAAATAAAAGATACAACAGTTAGAATGGCCCTGGCTGGAGAAATTCCATACGAATTTCACGTTTAACTCTATTTTGCTTACTGAAGTAAAGGAGGGGACATTAACCACTCTGCCCTGGATTACTGGCTTCACAAGGCACATCTCTTCAGATCTAGTTTAGTAGTAGGGAGAGGACACCTAAGATTCCTCCCCCTCCCCCATCACCCCCAGCCCCCCCTCGAAAGGAGAAAATAAAGGAAGTAATGGAGAAGATGAATATGGGAAAATTCAGTGAATATTATGGGATATGTATGGGGTGAAAAATCCAACATTTTGTGATAGATTCAATGTGATATGATCAAATGTGTTATAAAATAATGTGTTTTTCACCCTTACATTTCTAATGTCATGAATGTAAAGAAAAAAGCTTGCACCCAATACAAAGAGTACATTCATCCTGATGATTCCTTTGAGCTGATGAGGGATCAATTTAAATAAGAATTCCGCCTCCTCTTAAGGCAGCAAACTGCAAGATGTTTGTAACACAATAGTTTCAGTGTTAAGATTTTGCCGGCAACCGTCCGATAAGTCAGGTGCAGGAAGTTTCTGACTTTTGAGTTTGCTCTCGCAGCAGACCTTTGCATTTCCAAATCAGTAACAGCCTCAGTAGAGTGTTTTTTTTAAGTGTGCTTTGGCAGGTAAGTCGATGGCTGGGCTGTCTTCAAGAACAGCTTAACCACATGTTTAGACAATTACAGTCCTCATATTTAAAATCCGTTTAACTGCAAATGTTAGTTGGCATCAACATTTGCAGCATTTCAGAATCCAAGTACATCTCTAGGGTGCCACAAATATAGATTTGCTCACACATTACGTAACAGCTATTTATGTGCCATTTGCGGTTTATGAAGTAGCAAATGATGGTTAGTTTTGCATTTTTGTTCAGCTTCATAACTTCAAAAGTGGCCTTATTTCGCAGTCTGGAAGCAGTCACATTAACTTTTATATTAAATTTAAATTAACTTTCAGGAAACCTGTGCTAGTAATGGTTAAATAGGTTCTCACACATATAGAAATTAAGTATTTTTCAGACATCTAAATCAAGCTAGAATGTATTCTTTAAACCATGACTTTTATTGCTGATGGCAAGAATTCCTCCTATTTTCTTTCACTCCCCTTTCCACTTCACAACCACATTAATGCCACTGTGAAATCAGTCAGTGATAGGTGTCTAGATTAATTAATTTATTTATCTCCCTTCCATTGAGGATGTTTCTCGCCCTAATGCAGTGACCACTCCACCAGAGTTAAGGCCACTACATGTCTCTGAGGCAACAGTACGACCACTTTAGCCAAATTATGTTTTCTGTGTATAAGACAGAAATGCATGGGCTCGCCACACTGATTGTGCCCAAATACTGGTGCACACTTCACCACAGACACGGTAGTTCCTGAATTGGAAAACAAGATACTTTAGCTACATGTTGAGCAGTCTGGCTTGATTTTCTGGAGTGAGCAAACAAGGAGTCGGAGCCAGAGGCAAGAAAGCGATGGCAAGAGCACTCAAGTTGGCTTGAATTATGTTAATGTTTAACTGAAGGAGATTGAGACTCATCAATTGTGCATATATGGAGCTCACTCTGGTTTGGATAGTCTTAGTGTGGTGGTGGTGGGTTTCCACATGGGCTGACCAAAAATAGTTCATCCAGGAATTGATGTCTAACAGACAATCAATCAGTTTAGCAGTAGTCTTGGAGTTGTAGTAGCAAAGAGATGGAGCTGGGCGCCATTGGCCTAATATGAAAGCTGACCCTTCCTTCCTGCCAATGAAGAGAAGAGGCCAAATGAGCTACACATGCAAAGACACTCAATTAGCTAAGCAGATGTCATAATGATCTCATGGGTGTCTATATGTTCTCAGCATTTAAGACACTCGTGAGATTACTGTGAAACAGTTTGTTAGTTTAAGCATCTAATGTTCATACTCCACTAATTATCAGCTTGCCATTTCAGCACATTTCTTTATCTTCATTCCAGTTTGATATGGTTATGTTGTATGCGCAGAGAGTAGCAGTGGTCCCAGTTCCTTTACCTTCCTACTGTGCACATTACATTCATCTTCATAAAGTAAAACTTTGAAAAGCTGGAAATCTGGATATTATAAGCTTTGCAGTCCATTTGCCATTCCATACTGCTACAGACTTGCAATGTTTTTTTTATCCCTTTGAGGAATATGTCTGTCTGTCAAATGTAAGATAGCATTTGTTTTTAACATAGGTTCTTTTGCACATCTAGAGAATTAAACCTTTGGGCCCAAGGTAATAATCTTGCTCCTTCATACATTAGAGTTGTCATCCCCTTTCCTCCTCCCCTGCACCACCATCACAAGTACAGCTTTCCATCAAAATGTTACTGCTGTTCCCCTCTGGGTCCTGGCTGCATTGTCTTCTTTTTGGAACATTGCTTTAGACTGCGTGAATCACATAATGTCCACATGAGAATATTGTTGTCAGTTTTTGGATCTTGCTGAGATGTATTACACATTTTCGTGACTAAACCAGTTTATTCTGGTCAGTGCATTATCTCATTCTTTGGGGGGAAAGATATTGGCCTAATTACACCTTGGCCCTAACAGCCTGTGTATTGTACATTTTCCATTCCTACATTGCTTCATGACCCAGAGGATGTTATGATGGCAATTGTTCTTTGTCAGGAAGTTCTTCTCAATCAATGGGCCCAGCTGGAGAAAGTCTATCACCGTAGTACCAGCTCCTCACAGCTGTTGCCTTATGTATTATTATGTGTTATGTCCAAAACTTGACTTTTGCCCCCCAAAAATCTACATGTAGCATCTTTGTCTGAATGCCATTCTGAATCATACAGATCCTTAGTCCATTTGGTAAAGAGCCAAATTGTTGAATCTTTTATTCACTGCATATCCTTGCCTTTGTGTTTTGTGAACAAAGTGTTACATCTTGTAGAATCTGATGGCCAAAATTTTGCAAGGTTTTAATCTTAAGATTATTGTCTTAAAATGTAACATCAGACACTGTCTTGGAAAACTTCTTAATTTTCAAGTCGCTTTTCCGCATTTGTTTTTGAGGAGTGCATATTAATTACTTCCAAAAAAACTGAATTTAACAATTTTCCCTCCAGTGAGAGAATGTGCATTCTATTCCACAGGGAAATGTACATGTGTAGGTGGCATAGACAGAAGTCTGGTTTGGATACCCTTAAGCAAGCGATATTTTTTTCCACATGTGTTAGACACCCAGCTGACCAAGACAAAAATTATGAATTTTCCAAAATTCTACACAGTCTTAAATTTTTAGATGAGGTCAAAAGGCTAAGACCGTAATGTATTTAAGGCCACTGGGACTCAATGTCCATTGTATAGAAGCATCTTTGTGTAAAACTAATATAAGAACATAAGAATATAAGAACTAGTTAGACAAAAGAAGACCAAAGTCCATCTAGTTCGCCTTCCAACCATCCTAGCAATCGCTTGACATAAGCATCCCAAACTATATACTGTATAATTTCTGCATTCATTATTTATCAGGTAGCTTACTAACTGAATAAAATACATTTTCAATTACTAGTTTAGCAATCCAAAAATGAGGTCCTCCTACTTACTGTTTCTTAAATGAGTCTAACATCCTGGCCTCCACTTATTTTCCTAATAACTCTATGAAAAGACAATCTTCCTGGGATCTGTCCTGAAATTGTTCTCAACAGCTCTGAAAACTTGCACCCTCTTGTCCTTCAGCCCTAGTGTATCTGAGAGCAGCCTTGCTGCTCTCAATCACTCCACAAATAATGCCTGTTCAGTCTCCTGCCTGGGTTGTGTCAACCAGAACTGTACTCAATACTCCAGGTGCAGAGCACTGTTCAACTTGAGTATGATTTCTGAGGATCTAAGCTCAACTGATTTAGCAATGAAGCCCAGCATCCTGTTTGCAACGTTTATTGATAAACTGTTTTGATAAGATGAATGATGAATGATGGACCAGCTAACACTCCTAGGATTCTCTCAACATTCCCCTTGGCAAGGACTATCCCATCTTTTGGGTCCAATTTGGGGTTTGGATTGCAGTCTGTTCTGCGGTTTAGTGCAACTGACCTGAAGCAGATGTTAAACGGTAAAATGGGATTGACGTACAACACATGCGGGTAACGCAAATTCTCCTCTGTGGCTCTACACAAGTTACTGTAAAACATTGTGTAAAGTGACAATATTTAATTCCAGGCAAAAGAACAATCCAATTGCCGCCAATTGGCTGGGGAAATATTCAGTAGTTCAAGATCTTTTGCCATTAGCGATGATAGTTTTAAACATGTGGGCTAATCTGAAAAGCAACTGCACTTAGTAATTCTCACATTTTTCTACAATATTTCTCTTTGGATTGGACTTGTCAATGCCGTATTGAATTTTACTATAATCTTGGGTTGGCAGATTCTCCTTTGTGTCTTGAGGAACATCACTTTAAAATGTTACCAATGGTACATTGAAAGCAATGAATGAAAAAAGAGTATTCATCTATCTCTGGGTTTAGTTTCCCTTATTCTTCATAAAGAATTATCCTTTACATGCATAATCTCACACTCTTTTCCCCCCAAATCCAAGCTTGCGGTTATTGCTTTTTTTTATCATATTTTATCTTTTATCAATTTTTTGGGTGTGACAAATTTATGCTTGCCATTGCTTCCAACAACTAACTTGATTGTTAATGAAGAAATTGAAACAAAGTTTACTTCTGCACAAAAATTGCAAGGATGTATTTTGATATTGGAACGATACAAATGTGTGGTCCACTGTTTTATATTACACGTTTATCACACCTCTAACAGTGAATTGGTGAGATTCAAAAAATGGCCAAATGTGGTGTGAGAGGAAAAAAATCCTGTTTACCTTCCCATAAATAAAAATGGTGGATATAATACATAGACTACTTTTCAATCTATCCTATTAAGTGAAATATTCATATCGTTGATACATTGTTGGCAACACAGGAAAATTTCATGATCATATGCCATTAACAGCCTTTTTTTTCAAAGAAGAATCATACCAAACACATTGGCCTAAATCATCAGATATATTGGGGTCTAATTTGCGGGTTGTGTTAATCCACGTGCAAAGCCTTGTTAACAGAAGGAATTAAAGTTGCCATGAATGATGTGATAAATAAAAGAATCACTGCCATTCCCGGAATCCTTTAGTTTGGTTGCTAAGTAATAAATAAAGGTACCTACCTGTATATGTTTGCACCCGGTTGTGAACCCCTTTGGCAAAAATGCTGTACGGCGTCTGGCGATCCTGGCTCAGTCTTTGCTGGTGCTAAATTCCCTTTGTGCAGAGTGAGCATTTTTTGCAATATTCAGATGGCAAATTCTGTATTACCAAATGTGAACCTGGTGTTACATTCCCCACTTGGCATAAACTTCAAAGTTTGGCTTTCTTCACCGTATGATGTTATATTAAAACAATGTTATAAATTTAAGTAGGCATTTTACTGTCTTCCTCTTTGAATAAACTATTAACTGAAGGTATTGAGCCCAATTTTAGCTTAATCGGGTGCAATTATCTTAAATCATGAATTGCATCAATATGAGTTTAAAGGTTTTTTGGGTATTTTCCCACATACCTTTTGGGTCAATTGTTTTTTGAATACATTCCAGGTCTATACCAGTAGGTAACAGTATGTGAAATTTAAATATGAATATGCTGGAAGCATATGCATTTTACTGATGGCTGTGGTGACAATTTATCAATGTCGACCATTAGTCTTGAAGAACCTTCTCTTTTCTTTAAAATGGCCAGCCATTTTCTGATAAATGCATAAATGTTTTACTGAGTGGGGGCAGGGGGATGGGGGGGTGGATTATAATGTCACACAACACATAATTAACCTCATTAACTAGATTTTACCACATTAAGGGCTTTTGGCCCTGAAATCAGTGATTGCCAGAAATTAAATCAGTTATAGCCAAATATTTATTTTGAGATAGGCAGAGGCAGACAGTCAATACAATCAGAGGTCTTTATCTCCCAGACAATAAATGCCATCACTGTCCTTTAATTTCTGGTCAAGAAGGTGGTCAATAATCTCTCTTCATGCAGAAATCAAAAGTCTCTGCCCTTTAGTTCTCCGACAGCAATTTATCTTTTGATACATTGGTTTAAGGTAAACATTAAGGGGAAGAATCCTTCTGGATTGATTATTAAATACCCCCAGAAGTTAAGTCACAGTGTATCTGTTCAATCCCCAGTAAAGATTTCATTCCAATCCCAAATTTGATGTCTGTCAAATTTCACTTCCAAGGCTTTTTTTTGACTCAGTAAAATACGATTTGCTCCTGTACTGTACAGCAATCCTCACTGAGGTCAGAGAGAGTGAGATTGCACACCACAGGTCTGTTATAACAGTGGACTGCATGTATCCCAGATCTAGGAATGTTCCAAGCAAGAAGTTACCAAATTCAGAAAGAGTTACTTTCCAGCAATATCCGTTGTCTTTGTCTGCAGTGTTCAGTTACCTGTGGAAAGGGAATGCAATCAAGAGTGATCCAGTGTATGCACAAAGTGACTGGAAGACATGGACATGATTGTTTCCCATCAGAAAAACCTGCAGCCTATAGACCCTGCCACATGCAGCCCTGCAATGAAAAAGTCAATGTGAATACCATCACATCTCCCAGACTAGGTATGTAGCAATTTCCTAGTTATTACTTTACTCTTTGTCAGTGGGGTGGTTTCATTTGGTGAGCTATGGTGAACCAACATGTGTAATGGTTTTTAATCATAGTTTCATTTTCTGTTGTGTCAAAAGTTAAAATGTTTACAACCAGCCAATGCAAAGTAAATGTACCAACAGTTAACAACAGGTTCAAAACTATTTGAATAGCAAATTGTTATCCATGTAATGCAATAGTTTGTTTTTATCTTACAGTCCGATAATTAACATGGATTAAATTTGTGTGTCAATCTGGCTCAGTTGGCAGCACTCTAACCTCTGAGTCAAGCCTCACCTCAGAACGTTTAAGTTCATATTTCAGCTTGACATTTCAGTGCATTACTGCATTGTTGGAGGCAGTCCTTCAGATGAGACAAGGTCCCATCTGCCCGTTCAGATGGATGTTAAAGATCCCCTGGTGCTATTCAAAAAGAGATGAGAATTTCTCCTGGCCAACATTCCCCCAGATAAAATTGATCATTCATCTCATGGCTGTTAGTGGGATATTGCTGTATCCCAAAAACATAGTCACTGCACTTTACAGTAAATCTTGTGCAGCAATTTGAGATGTCTCAATGATGAGATTATTATAAGAGGTCATTCAGTTCATGGCTGTTTGTGGGTTACTGGTGTGAACAAATTGGCTTTCAAATTCACTAGATCTTTACTAGATTTTACAGAAAAACTGTGAAGACGTTCTGAGGTGAACAGGCCTCAGAAGTGCAAAGATTATTATTATATATTAAATTCAAGGATTATTATTATATTATAATCTATAACGACAGTATTCTGGAATTTGGACATAATAATAGTCATCTTTGCATTTGATATAGTGCCTTATCACGTCTTCGGGATGTCTCTCAAAGCGCTTCACAGAATATACTGTAAATTGAATTGGCTGTATATTTTGTGGGTGAAACACGGCAGCCAATTGCGCACAGCAGTGTCCCACAAACAGGTGTGAATTGAAGTTACCAATTGTTTTTTTTTTTTAAGTAATTATTACTCCGGAAAAGCGATCCGGCAATCGACTAACAACCGGGTTCCTACTTACTGCTAGATAAACAGAGGCATGTGGAGTAAGGAAACTTGCCCAACATTTCGCCCTGCTGGGAATCGAACCCAGGTCTCTCACTTGCAAGGCGAGTGCTCTAACCACTGAGCTACAGGACTCCATTGATAAATAACTTTTCCATTGATAAATAACGAAGAAACTATGCAATGAAAATGAGCATTAATTACACATAGTGGGATGAAACTTGCAACATATGATACCTGATGTTCCATTATTGCCAATATTAAGTGAGCAGGGTGCATCCTTGTACACTCCATTCCAGGCACAGGGAAATTTCCCTGCATATGAAAACCTTCCAGTAGCTTGATTTGGATACTCTTTAACATGATGATGGGTTTCCATGAATCAGGTACCCAGCTGAACAAAAAAAAAAAATGCTGTTGGTGTAAGTATCACATCTTTGGTGAGGTCAGCTGATAACTAAAAACAGATGATAACTAAAGTCTGGTTGGTGGGTGTGATTTTCTGGTTGGGCTTGAAGCCAGTCCACAGTTGAAGTTGCAGGAGTTTACAGTGTATTGGTATTTCAAGGCTCCTATCTGCATTCACATGAAGAACAACAACAACTTGCATTTATATAGTGTTCTTCACGCCAGACGGCGTCTCGAACAAGTGTGCAAGCCCATCTTGTCACCTACTTGTTAGGAGACGCACAAATAATATAACAAAACAGGTAGAGTATTGAATAAACCTTCTTGTCATTGTAGATTTCTATCTTATTAAATATACCATATACATGACACTTTAGTAGCCTTGTCACATCCTTGGTACGCAAGGAGGAGAAATTGCCTTCGTTTTATAATGTTCTACAGATGGAGAAATGTTAATCACTAATTTTACACATATGTTGAAGTGTTGTAACTATAAAGATCTATTTATGCTTCAAAGAAAAGTGGTTACAGCCTCTGTGTAACTGTTGTGACAAAACTGAGTGTATTGTTTAATTTCTTTACCTGTTACATCTAAACTGTTGTATCTGTGTACAGTAGATTGTTACCTTGGAGTGAATCAAACATGCTAAATAATAAGGGCTTCATCATGAGCAAATAGTACAGTCTGAGCACCATGTAGATTCAAAAGAATGTCCTCTTGAGTAAATGCACTAGGATTTTTACCTTTATGTATCCACTGAATCTTTTGACATTTGACATCAAGCATCAAATAAAAAAGAGTGTCCCTTACTTCATAGTTGTTTGTGGGATATTGCTATGTGCAATTTAGCTATGTTTTGTATATTTGCCTACAAAACTTAACAGCAAAATCTCAATGATGTGATATCAAATGCAAGGCTTAATATTGTTATTATATAGAGGATTTCATTCAAATCCATTCACTCTCTGGCATCTCCCTACCTCTCCGACCTCCTCACTACCCAATCCACCACCCAGCGCCTCGGTTCGACTGGCACCAACCTCCTGCTTGTCCCTTGCACCCTCCACCCCACCATCGGAAGTCGTGCTTTCAGCCACTGCACCCCAAAACTTTGGAACACTCTTCCTCAATCCCTCCGCCTTGCCCTCTCTCTCCCCTCCTCTCCCCTCTTTCAAGTCCCACCTGAAAACTTTCCTCTTTGACCGTGTTTATTGCCACTTCCCCCCTTGCCCCGGCTTGGAGTCAGGCTCTGCCACTGTTAAGCGCTCTGAGATGCTACCCTGCATGGAGGGCACTATATAAGTGCAAGTTGTTGTTGTTGATTTAAGATAAGTGTTCAGTTTACGAGCTCCTGTCTACCCTCTAGAAATCCAGCTGGATTGGTGCTGATTTCTGGAAATCTGATCGAATGAAAACCATGGAAGTGAAAATTGAGTTTGATTTCTCAGCAGGTGGAGTTCAACAATGACAATTCCAGAATTCCCTATTTATAAATCGTGTTGTGATTCTCTCAAAATATGCTCGAATACCTCAGAATTTAGGTGTGTTTTGTGACAAAGATAAACTACAGGCAACAGTCCAGTTCATACGTTAACTGATGTAGGTCTGGAAGCACTGTAATCTATCATGGCTCAACAAGATACCTCAATATAAGAGAGGTTAGGTTATGATTTATAGCAATTTTGAAGTAAACTCTTTAATAAGAAATCCTGTTAGAGTTCCTATTGACCCTAATGAAAAGTAAGTTGAGTCAGAATGTCATTCCTGTGGATCAGAATGAAGTACGTCCTGTTATTGAAAGGTGTCATTAATTTCATTAATTTCTTTATAAGGAAATCTGTTAACAAATACTGCAAATTTGACTCCAAAAAAGAAAACCTTTAAATTGTTGAAAAACACTGTATTAAAACCAAACATTCTGGAAATAAACATTATATCTATCAGTTCCTGAAGGAGAAAGATAGGCGAAAACGTTAGGTGTGATCCAGTCAACCCTGATGCTTTTGGAGTCCAAAATACATCTTTACAACTTCACTTAATTCCCTCACATCTCCCAACCTATCTGGCCTGCTTATTCCCTATTCCACCACCCACTACCTCCGTTTGGCTGGCTCCAGCCTCCTAATTATTCCTTGTGCCCTCCGCTCCACCATCAGTGGCTGTGCCTTCAACCACTATGCCCTGAAATTCTGTAACTCTCTCCCTCAATCCCCCATCCCTCCCCACCTTCAAATCCCACCTGAAGACCTTCCTATTTTGATCGTGCTTATGGTCACCTCCCATCTCCCTCTTTCCTTGGCTCGTTGTCAGACTCCGCCACTGTGAAGCGCTCCGGGACCCTACCCCACATGAAGACAGCTGTATAAATGCAAGTTGTGGTTGTTGTTGTGATAAAGGGATCAAAGATTTCAGCTATTATGTATGATAAATTATTTGATGTACATAATCTCAGCATGAATCAAACACTGTGCACCAGGTTAGATCTGTAGATCTGAGATTATAGCTCACTGATTGTGTAACGAAGAATAAATTACATATTCCTAGCACTTTATCATTACATACATTTCAAAGCACTTCACAAATAATATTATAATAATAATAATCAAGATGTCTCAAAGCATTTCACAGAATATACTATGAATTGAATTGACTGTATATTACTGTCAATTACAAGCAACTGTTTTGTAGGCAAATGTGGCAGTACAAGCAAGATCTCATAAGACGCCCTGAGGTGAATGGCCTTAACCCTTATACAACAACAGCTTGTATTAATATAGATCCCTTCACTTACGACAAACTCGTGGAGCACTTTACCGGGATGCTGAGAGGTGGGGAGATAAGCGTAGGCCCTTTCGTAGAGGAGGTCAATAGGCAACATTTAAAGACATAGAGAGAGAGAGAGAGAGAGAGAGATAGGGAGCAAGATGGAGGGATAGGGGAGGAAGTTCCAAAGGGTGGGGGCCCAGTGTTGTCTGCCATACCTGTCTTGGCTGCAGTTTTACTCTGAACCCACAAGCTACTTGTTCTCCTTTTCCACGGAAGTCTCTGTAAATCAAACCTGTTGGTTTCTAGCACTTGTCAACTCTTATGTAAGAGATTGCATAGGTTACATCACACCAGGTATCATCACAGTACAGACTAAGAGGAAACAGACATCACACCCAGCATGGGAGCACTGTTCGCCAGTAGGCAGACTTTGCTGCACCGTGCACTGGTATTTCTGAACAACTTGATAATTGGTTTCATACGTCTGACCATTTGAGAAATATTACATTTTTGTGCATGTGTGTTTTGTGTTAGAAATTCCAGTTTTAAATTAAATGGGGATAAAGTTGACACAACAAATATAAAGAACAGCATTTGAAAAAACAATATCAATTTCAGCACTAAAGTCTGTATGTATATAATTTTGCAGTCCAATAAACAGTGTAATACTTCCCACGGAGTAGCATAATAGGTATCATTTACAGTGTATTACAACTCCAGAAATGTATTTAATAAACTTTGCATTTATTAAAATGCCTATAAAGTTAAAAAGACAAATAATTTATTTTAAGCGTAGTGGCTGTGCATTTGTTGGCCAACGTCACAGCTATTTTGCACACAGTGAGATCCCACAACAGCCATGAAGTGAATGGTCAATTTATTTGGAGGATTATTGGTCAATGCTCTGGGAGGAACACCTTTCTCTTTTCTAACAGTGCAATGGGATCTTCAAAATACATCTGAACAGTCAGACATGACCTGGGTTTAATGTCGCATCTGAAGAACGGCACCTTAGACAATGAAGCACTCCCTGAGCACTGCTCTAGAGTCTTGGATAAGGTCTCCAATACAGTCCTCATTGACTTGTTTTGCAACAAATCGTATTAGCTCTCAAAATTACTGCTAATAAAATATAATTGCATGCATGGATTTAGGGGATCAAGTATTTTTCTAACACCGTAGAAGTACAATTACTTACTTAAATAATGCCTTTCACATAGGGAGAACATTGGAAAACAATTTACAGAGATGGAGTGGCAGCTTGAGGTGGGGGAGAGACTGGGGATGAGGGGAGGTGGAGAGGGCCAAATTCACTGTCAAAGAGATGAGTTTTGACAGCAGAGAGAAGGGCAAGGTAGAGGGGTTTCAGAAGAGAGTTGGTTGCAGTTTGCCCAGGGCAAAGCCCAATTATTAGTAACACCTGCCCCTAGGTACAGGTTCTGCAAACAAACCAGAAGAACATCTGTAAAATTTAAATGTGATTCTGTAAACATTCTTCTAGTTATTCAGTCATTGAATTGAAGAGAGTTTAAACAAAATGTTAATTTTATTATGCTTTGCTTTTTCATGGGGGGAGGGGTAAGAAAAGAACAGAAATTGGTGTATTTAAAATGTATTAATTGCAATAAATTTAAAAATATCCTTTTATTTCAATAGCTGCATTGACATTCAAGTGTTTGAAGGACCAGTGGCAAGTCTATTGCAAAATAATTCGAGAGACAAATCTTTGTCAGGACATGCGGTGGTATCAACGCTGCTGTGAGACCTGTAGAGACTTCTATGCACAAAAGCTACAGTACAAGAGTTGACATCTTGCATTGCATGAACACTGAACTTATTTTTATAAGTACAATCTAATTTATGAAAATGCAGAACTACAACTTGTTTAGACCAAGGTACTGATGTATTAGGTATAATTTATTCATTTTAATTTATTTTTTTGTTTACCAAGATTTGTTTCAAAATGCTGTTCAGTGAATTTTAATATCACGTATATTTTACCTTTTGTATCTAAGCTGGGTCCATTCATTGCAAACTGACAATAACTTGACAACTGACAGAATGTATTTCATGTGGAGGCTCATGTCTTTGTGAATATCCTTGACATGAGCTGAAAATCAACAGTTACTGTATTCATTGCATTACCAGTAGAGAAAGCCTAAAACAGAATATTGAAGATCAGAATTATTGTGACGTGTAATTATGACAATTTACATTTGCTTGAAAACAGTGACTTGAGAGAAAACACTGTAGAGCTCAACACTGAATTACTTTTGCATCATTCAGGTACTGTCTAAAGGTTCTACAGCAGTGTTTCTCAAAACATTTTGATACTAGGGACCAGCTAAGTTTATTCTTAAAACGTGGTGGACCATTAATAAATTGTCAGGTCGCACTATCTAGAGATCTCTAGTGTAGACAGGCCATGATCTTGTCATGGCGGTCATTGCGAAACACTGTTCTACAGTCTCAGATTAAAGTCAACACATATTGTAAAACTTCATATTAGTAGTTTAAATTTAGAATTTCGTAACGCTACATGAAACGGCACATTGTGGCTGCACAGAAATAGCAGCTAAGCCTTTCACTGTCTGAATGCTGAAAAAATTCTATGAATTTTAGCTCAGAATATGAATTTTCATACACAGTATGTGAGTTGTATATCTCCTACTTTGACAATCTCTCACCCCTTCTGTGTACATTGCTAAGTGTCATTTTAATTCAAAATAGGAAATTTATGCAACAGGAAAAGGCCGTGAAATTGAATGTTTTCAACTTTTGGAAAAATTTTTGTGAATAAAAAATCAAACAAGGTGGTCTGGCCTGCACTGATCCCCTGAGACTAGTGAGCTCTTTTGTTATGTGTTTATAATGATATTTCCCATCAGCAATAATTAGCAAATGGCATTTCCCATTGTAAACTATGACCGGGAGGGAAGAAATATTAGTATTAGTGATCAGTGTGTGATAAACACCAATGGAAATCAAGATGATTATTTCTCACTACCAAATATACTTTGTGCATGAGTTAAATTAACTTGCATATAACTTCATTTTTATAGTGAAAGTTGGAAAAAAAACTGCAGGATATATTACTGTTTAAACATTCTTCCTCAGTGATGCTTATGTGTTTGTTCTCTACCCCCACCAGTTACCACTGAGAGATTCACTGCAAATTGCAGTGCAGACCTGTTGTCAAAAATGTTCCCTTTCCCATGTCTTTCCCCTTTAAAACTGTGCTTTTCAACAGCTCTTGCATCCACTGTTCTTGGGTTGGACTCACAATAGGGGTGATCAAGAGCAGTGCAGGTTGATGTTTGCCATCTTTGTGTATTTTTTTCATTTTACTTATTCCTTTCCTCAGGGTAGGATCCTCACTCAGTTGTCACAATGCATTAATACAAACAAGTACTGTATGGACGGGCTGCCTATTGTTATAACAAGTTTAGATTTTGTATCACTTATGGGTTGTCACATTATGTACATGAATAATGTTCACCATAGAGAAATCGACTACCCTTTAATAGGCATTTCACAATAGAGCCAGCCTCACCCCGTTTACTTCCTATGCCTCCCCTTCACGGAGCATAGTCATTGGTGCTTCATACTGGTTTAGGTGCTTCAATTCCAGTAATATCTCAAGGTGCATTTTGGGATCAGCAATGGTGTAGCTTCTACCAATCTGACCATAGTTAAGTCAGATGTGTGTATTTGTGTGTGCCACTCCTTCCCCCTATCCCTTCCAGTTCCCTGGGGAATGTTATTACATGCTCCAGAACTGGCACTTAATACAATACTTTCGCAGGGCAAGGATTTCCATTTACTATTAAAAGCGAAAGCTAAGCTGATTTACATGAGAGCAAAATCATTGGGCCGTGATATAAGAAATTGTAATTTCTTACTTATTTACAAACATATGGCCAGGACCCTGGGAGGAATATTATTCAATGTTCACACAAACACCAATGTTTGTAGTCATCCAGTCAATTATATTTCTAAACTAAATGGCGAGTGTTTTATCTGGACACTTCATATTGATAAAATGTCAAGATTTACTTAGTAGAAATCCTCGCTCTCTTTCTCAGGACTGAGGTTAATATATCCAGGACCTCTCAGAAAAAACAGTGTCAAGTAATTAAAATCAACAAGTCACCCCATTTCAAAGGAGAATTCCCACTGGGAACAGTTGTGTATTATTAATCACAAAGTTTGTTTCTGTATAAACCTTAGTAACTAAACAGCGAGGTGATCACAAGAGAGTTTCGGATGTAGAAAACCCTTTGCTCATTTGATCTCATCCTTCCAGAATACCATCCCCTGGCTTTCAAATATAGTTAGTTTTGAGAATCCAGTGTCCATGTGAGCCTGTGAGCAAAGTATCTCAACTGCATTTGAAATATTGTGGCACAAACAAATGGGTTTTAGTGAAGTTCCTTCTGCAGTGGAACATGCAAACTCCAAAAGCTCCAGATCTCATGGGCAATTTTATTTTAACAGCTTAAGTTACTCATATAGGGGGGGATGCTCAGGTCTCCTGTGTAATAACTTTTAATAAATAAATGAAATTCAGAACAAAAAGCTCATTGTTTTGGTCTAAAACAAAAGGGTTGCTACTGTGTGTAAATGGGAGGTATAGCATTCTTTCGGATGCCTCTTGTAGTTTTGTACTGTGATTTATTTGAAAAATATATTGCAAAGCTATTTAATTCTTGAAAATAATTTCATATCAACTTTGTCCAGAATCATGGTCACAGTAAAAAGCATTTTGCAGGTCTCTGAATTTAGAATTCGTATGTTAGGTGCTGATACTTGAAATGATCTGTGTAAAATTGAGACTAGCTCTTTAGAAGTGTAATTTTGAATTTTCTTTCCCCTTTATTGTTGTGATCCTTTCCTTGCTTTCAAATCCATGTATGAAAAAAAAATGCCAATTGTAACAGGATTTGCCACGTATTTGTATGTGCTTGATCAGCTACTCTGTATTACTTACGCCCTGCAGGCATCTCCCTGAGCTTTTATACTGTATTCTTGTACAATCATAGAATAAACAACATTAAAAAAAAGACCAGTCACTTTCTACAGTGGATCCATTTTCAATATATTTTATTTGCTCAGCCAATCGATTGCTTTCGTTAACAATTTCCAAACATTGTCCTACAGGTGCAGCATTTCTTAGAATCTTAGGAAGTTTACAGCGCAGAAGTATTCCATCTCCCAACAAGCCGCACCATGAAAATAAAAATATTCACCCCAACAAATCTTGGCAAAAGTAAAATGAACATAATTTATGCCGCTGAAAATATTACAGAATATTGTGGTTTTGTGTATTATTTTTGTTATAATTATTTAGTTATTAAAACTTTACTTCCTCACAGCATGACGAACATTGGTCCATATAAGCATAAAACTTTATCAGATTATCCGTCCCTCTGAGGAGTCGTTAAGCCAAGATCCCATTTCCTGTACAAGTCAACACTAAAGATTCCGTGGCACTGTTTGAAAGGAAGCTTTTCCTGGTGTCCTGGCCAACATTCCTCCAAATAAAATTGCTCATACACCTCATGCCTGCCTTAGGACATCGCTATGTGCAAATTGCCTGACATGGTTGCTTATCAAAAAACACAGTCACTAGACTTTACAGTAAATCCTATGCAGTGCTTTGGGACATTCTCTGGACGTGAAAGGCGCTCTTATCAAATACAGTGGAAGTCGGTTAAGTCGGATACATCAGGGACGACCGTTTGTCCAGTTTAAGCGGCGTCCCATGTTAGCCAAATTTCCTTTTCTTCTTCCCGCTCAGCAGTGGAGGGGCGGCACTTCCTCCCGTTGCCATTCCCATTGGACGGGAAGGGGACCAATTAGCGATGGCACTCAGGTGATTGACAGCCTTGCAGCCGCTTGTAAATGTTTGGGCTCCACCCATTCACAAGCAGCTCTAGCTGTCAATCAATCGTGACTTGACTTCTCCCATTCCCTCCCTTATTCCTTAGCCCCCTCACTGATTGACAGCCCAACTCCAGCCGCTTGTGAATGGCCGAGTCTGCTGTCAATCGATCTTATACGCCGTCAATCTCCATCCTGGAGCTGCTTGACACACAGAATGAGTATATTAGGCGGCGATCAGCACGGCATTTTGACGGGATTAACTGGCACATTTAAAACAGGCAAGAATGCAAATGAATCGAGGCCGGACGTTTTGTTCGAGTTACCCGCAGTCCAGGGTTAACTGGCGTCTGGCTAAAGCGGACTGTGACCCGGTCTGTCCATAGTGTTCAAGCACTATTAAAATTGATGTTTTTAAAACCAAAGATTTTCAATGATAAATACATGTTTCTTTGAGTGATAGTCAATCGGTAAAGAAACAATTTTCATATGAATTTCATTTATAAAAATATATTCACTATCTTTACTCAATGTCGTGATCTAATCAAACTTCACCAAACTGCCTGCTCCATCTGCTCTGTAGGCACTGGCCTGCTCCATGTCTCCCGCCCTGCCTGCTCCACTATCAGTGTTCGGGCTTTTAGCTTTTCTACCCCACCCCCACCGGAACACCTCACCCCCTCCCTTGCCTCCTTCAAAACCCATCTCAAGACCTTCCTTTTCAACCATGTCTTAGGTCATCTTCCCTCCATCAACCCCCTTGCCCTTCACCCCACTCTGATCCTAATCCACAGCTCGAATGCAAACCTCTCATTGTCCAGCGCCTTGGAACATCCTCCTTATGTAAAAGGCATAAAATAAATGCAATTTGTTGCTGTTCATGGCGCATGCATGCACATCTCAAAACCCACCTCGCTGCACTGGTGACTCCAGCAACGCGAGCACAGTTTATCTGCGCACAACTGAGTAAACGGCCATCAGGGTGTACAGGCTAATACAATACAATT